GGGAGGCCAGATTAAGATATTTGTATAGACATATATATATGCGATATTTGCAGTAATGGTTAATGCGTGTGTGTGTGTGTGTGAGGGGAGGGGATTCAGATTAAAGATAGTTTCTATAATTCTATATCTTTTAGTTTTTACCATTTCACTCTATTCTTTATCCTTTGATCTCTATTATATTTGTGCTAAACATGCGTGAAATATTTGTTACTGGACATTTGGCAACCAAAACACAATCGACGCATTCTTTATATTTCATCATTTCTTTATTATGTTATCTATAGGTTTGGTCCCGCCCCATATCCATTTTTTGCACATTATTCTCTCTATGTAAACCCAGTTCCTGTCCTGATAAATGGTGACTCATGCATATCATCAAATGTGGTTATTAAAACAAGAAACATATTCATATTATAATAATTTACTGTATTTATAGATAGATGTCATTAGTCCCAGATCATGTAATAAGAGTAGGTCTTATAAAAATACAATAGCATTTTAATGGACTTATAGATAGATGTCATTAGTCCCAGATCATGTAATAAGAGTAGGTCTTATAAAAATACAATAGCATTTTAATGATGATCATATATATGTATATATATTTAAAAATGCCAATTTTTGGGAAAAAAGGGTAGGGGCAAGGCGTTTTTTTGTTCTTCGGTAGTGAGCCAGAAGAAGTCCATTTCTGGTATTTTTTTTTTTTTTTGCATTGGGAAGATCTTCTGGCTCTCTTCCACCTCTTCTTTTTTGATAGGTTGTTTAGACGGCAGAGGCACATAACAAACATGGCGTCGTTTAGTCTAAATAACATTAATAAATTTATGAATTCAGATATATTAGAATGTGAGCTATGTTATAAACGTTTTATGGTATGAAAGCCTTAGTAAGACATCCCTGTAGGACGATAAGCTGGATACATATAAGAACTACACGGACAATAACAGTTAAGGGACGATTATTTGATATTCTAGGTAAGGGATTTTGATTGATTGGTGTTTAACGCTACTTTCAACACTATTGGGCTATTCCGTAGTGGTCAGTTTAAATTTATAGATAAAGGATGGGGAAGGGAAGTGAGGGCATTATTATTCATTTTAATCTGTCGCTAATCGTGCCTATTTTTCAGCTCTTACCAGGCAACCATATTCATATATATGAAATCCTTCTGTCCCCCACCCCAACAAATAAATAAATATCAAATGGTTTTCCTCTTATTTAACACAAGTTTAAATTGATTGATTGTTTTGTTGCTAATTGTTAACGCCCAGTGACAAATACTTCATGCTTGTTCAGGAAAACACGAGTTTAGAAGTCAGGTATATAATATAAAAACGAAGAGATGGGATATGATTGCTAATAAGACAACTATCCACCGGAGTTCAAATATGAAGTGGATGTAAGCATTTATACACAATCGTAAGGCCTTCAACAATGACAGTGATACTGTAAAGTCGTCTGTAAAAGGTCCGACATGAAAAGTGTGAACAATTCAAACGAAAAAAACTAACGGCCTAATTATACATAACAAAACAATTTGCAAAATATCAATTACGGGTCGAGACATGAACCAATGACAACCACTAAACTACAGGCTGAACTGGGACAGGCAAATAAAGAATAGTGCAGGGTTGATATAAAAACGAAGATGTGGTACCGTATGATTGCAAATGAGACAACTCTCCACAAGATACCAAATTAAACAGAAATCAACAGCTATAAGTCTCCGTACGGCCTTCGACAATAAGCAAAGCCTACCACATAGTCAGCTATATAAAAGGCCCCGAAATCACAAATGTAAAACAATTCAAACGAGAAAACTAACGGCCGAATCAATGTACCAAAAAATGAACAAAACACAAATATGTATAACACAGCAACAAAAGGCAACCACCGAATTACAGGCTCCTGACTTGGGATAAGCACATGCATACATACAGAATGTGGCGGGGTCAAACATGTTAGCGGGATCTCAATCCTCCCCTAACCTGGGACAGTGGTGTAACAGTACAACAACATGTTTGTGAGCGACACTCAACCAATCCCGAAGCTGGGACAGTGGTGTAACAGTACAATAAAAGAACAACCTGCACTAATCAGTTGCAATTAGATTAACTCAAAAGATCGGTATGAGACACACAAAAAAACTAACATTAAGACAATAGACACAACGCACCTACATCAGAGTATTTACAATTACTGGAAGTTTGCTCAAGGATAACTACAACTAGTACTGGAATAAATCTTGTTCTCCCAGACTGAAGTATCAATCAGTACACAGCGCGCGGCAAAGGATTTATTAAAAAAGAAAAAAGTATGAGAAACGTCTGGTTTATGTTGTATATAGATATACGAAGATGTGGTATGAGTGCCAATGAGACTACTCTCCTTCCAAGTCATAATTTGTGAATGTAAACCATTATAGGTCAAAGTACGGTCTTCAAGACGGAGCCTTGGCTCACACCGAACAAGCAAGCTATAAAGGGTTCCCAAAAAATGACTAGTGTAAACCATTCAAACGGGAAAATCAACGGTGTCTTATCTAGTTAAAAAAACGATATACTTGCATATAGATCCATATACAATGAAAGTTTTTGACAAGTGGTGGTCCGAACGTTTTGACCATCGAAATTTTGCAATAGAAATAATAGTTAGGACCAGAAGATTTTAACAGCCGGTGCAGGACTCGCACGAACGCCAGATTTAGTTAGAGGGGCGATATTCTGACGCGTTTTTTAATTCTTGGTCACTCATGTTTAGAAAGAAAGGGGGAAATCCAAACAATTACCGACCAATCAGAAACGTTGTTGCAAATTTGACCTTAAGACGTCAAAGAATTTCCCATAATGCAATTATTGCATATAAATAAAAAAACTACTATACCAATTGAATAAAAAATATTGCATTTGAATGACAAATTATACCATTTAGATAAAAAATATTGCATTTAAATGAAGAAATATACCAATTGAATAAAAAAACATTGCGTTTGAATAACATATTATACCATTTGAATAAAAAATATTGCATTTAAATGAAAAGATATACCATTCAAATAAAAAAATATTGCATTCAAATGAAGAAATATACCAATTGAATAAAAAATATTGCATTTAAATGAAAAATATTAAATTTTTGCAACCAATACCATGCCATAATCAACAGCATCCTTTTTTTTACTTAACGGATTTTTAAAAGGACATACATGATCGACGGATGTTCAATTTTTAGATTTGTGTTTTGTGCGGCGTTTTGCATTTGCGCCAATCTACACTTCATTTGCGACAATTTTTGTTTTCATTTGCGCCAATAATTTTTGTTTCATTTGCGCCAATTTACAGGTAAACTCAAGTCATGAGACATACAAGTTGTACAATAATGAAAACTTTGTTTTGTCGCAAATGAAAAAAATGATATTTTCAAAATTGGCGCAAATGTCATACACCCGTTTGGTATGGACTGTTTGTTCACGTCTGCTGTAATTTTGTTGCTTTTGCTATTACGTCATCAATGACCATTAATTTTCCTCTGTCTTATAAGTATTCTGGTTCAAAGCTATATAACTCAATCCATATTTATCTGATTATCTGTCCAGTAAAACTCGATGAAGGTTTGTTTTTGTTCAACCTTGTAAGCTGAGGTTGAATAGTGCCGATATATAAGTACTGTGACAACACAGGTATGAGATATATGACAGCTAGCTGCCATTGTCGATGGGAACATTAGACAGATTAATTTTAATATATCCCAAATGAATGGCCTTAATAAAAGCAATAATTATTTTAACGGGATGTGATGTTTAACTTACTTTTCTAACAGGTAATAAATAGATAAAATAGCTTCGAGGCTGTGGGAGCCCTATAGTTTCACTTTGTCTCTCCGTCTGTGCGCAAAAACACCATACAGTATGGGTAGGACAACGATGAAACTTTGCACAGTTTTTGCGCTTAATAAGTAGATGTGCATATTTTTGGTGAAAATTGACATATGAATAAAAAACTTATTTTTTGTTTATTAAAAAAATTTGAGAAACATCTGTGCCGGTGTGCTAGAATTTTGTACGTATCATTCCAATATTTCAAATATAAAAAAAAAAGAAATTATTTCTCATGAAAAAATTAAATATTGTGAAAATGAAAAAAACAACAATTGTGGTAAAACATAGTTTTTGTTATATTGAACTATCCTGGATTATTTCATGGTGTGGATATTTACGAAAACTGATAACCCGTGAAATGTTTATGCTTTATTTGCATCAGTATTATCAGAAGTCCATCACTATGACTTCTGGTAATATGTATTATTTGTTTCTGTGTCTCAAACAAAAATGATTCAAATATGGTTCCCTTCTCCATTAAAGACATTTTTAATGCCATTTTCTATCATGATGGTTTCGTACATCAGAAGTAATTTTTCAGGAAACAAGAATCATTCAGCTTGATATTAAATCATTACAGCTGTCAGCAAAAAAACTGGTCTCTTGACCCAAAAAATAATGCATGGAAAAAATATTGTTTTTTGATAATTGTTTATATAATCAATATTGACCCTCCCCCTCCCTGGCGCGAATCCAGCCATTTTGAAAAGGGGGGCTCCAACCACCGGAACACCATGAAACGTTCACATAATTACCTCCCCCCCCCCCCCCCCCCCCCACACACACACGCTCCACCAATGCCTCCGGCTCCTACACCATGCAGTGACTAAGAACAATATACATCATGTTTCAGAGGCGGATTAAGGCCCCTGGGCCTCCCTTATGGAGCTTCATATATGATAAATGCATAGACTTTTTACACGTAGCACTCCAAACGTTGGTTGGCCCCCTTCAAAATCATGGACCATCACCTGGAGTTAACATGTTTAAATATGTAAATGAGTAAGACACGTGGTATGTATTGATTTATGATACAATTAAATGCTTGAACTTATATTAGACACTGGTCACGTTACCGTGTTATCCAATGAGATGGATGCTCTCGCTTCAGTGTTTCAATTGACTGGTGCACATGCACATTTGAAACAAGGAATATTATTCTAATGACGGCAAGTTTTGTTTTATTGTTAATTTTCAAGATATTTTTCAAATATCTTTTTATTTTACAAGTTGTACATTTCATTGGAAAAAGTACGTAAATTTACTTTTGAGCTACAAACGGCATCGTTATTTAATTTGACTTATTAAATGTTTTCCAGTAGGCCTTTATAAGTGGGCATTTTTAAGCGATAACATTTATGTATTAATTAAAAAACAAAAACACTATACGAAATTTATTTTCCTAATTTTTTTGTAGGGTTGTTTAATGGTTTTCATTTAAAATTATATCTATACAAATTCTTGATAGGCGACAAAACACGGTTTTAATGATTATTACAATACACTAAAGACAGCATATAAATATTACAAATAGATTTTTCTTTTGATTTATTTTTCAGTTTTCTAAATAGATAAGAGACAGGTATCTTTCATGCATAAAATAGGGTGGAGCTTCAGCCATGGAATAACATCAACGTGAACATGTTGTACCATAGAATATCTCCACCTACTTAATTTCCTCTTAGATTCTAGTCGGATTTCATGTTTAGTTATCCAAGTAATATGAAGCATCAAATTGCAGATAATAGACCCTGGTTTTCCCCAAAACAAACTCAAAGTTTAAAGCTAATTAGTTCTTAAAAACATCAAAAGAAAAATGCAATCTATATTACAGCTGGTTGTATATCAATTGAAGCATTTTATGAAAAGCTTATAAATGCTAAAATATCAGATATATACGACAACAGCAAACTCACTATTTATAAACATGTAAAACTAAATAATACAGAAGAAAAATATTTAACTTGCTCACAATTTGAATATTAAAAACTGATAACAACATTTAGAATAAGTGACCACAATGTATCAAGAGAAAAGGGAAGATATGTTAAAAAGCCAAAAGATTATGCAAAAACTGCAAAAAAATGAGGATGAAATTCATTTATTTTATATTGTGATATTAACAGTAATATAAGAATTTTATTTTTTTATTTTTTGGTAAAGCATGTAAAGAGAGCACACACTCTATAGATTTAAATGATAGAGATAAAATCACATATATCCTCAACTCAAGATCACACATGCAGGTTAATAAGCATGGATCCTTTTTAAAACAGTCTATATATAGAAGTGAGGACATGGGGCTCTTGAAATGTGTACTTTCATTATAAAATTGAGAATGGAAACAGGGAATGTGTTAAAGAGACAACAATCCGACCGAAGAGCAGAAAACAGCCCAAGGCCTTCAACAAAGCGGGAAAACCCCGCACCCGGAGGCGGTCTTGAGCTGGGCCCTAAACAAAAAATTAGTCAATAATGTATACTAGTTAAGCAAAAATGAACGTCACACTAAACTATGACGCATAAAATGAACCAAAATTAAAAAAACATACAAGATTAACAAAGGCCAGAGTTTCCTGACTTGGGACAGGCGCAAACATGCGGCGGGGTAAAAACACATTTTGTAAGTTCTCAACCCTCCCCTATACCTCTAGCCAATGTGGAATAAACAAACACATAGCTGAATGCACACAGTAAAACCCAGTTCAAAAAAAAGTCCGAGACCTGTGTTAGAATAGGTAACAGAGAAACGAAGCAAAATGACAATGATTAACATAAATTAACAAAGGACTACTAGCAGTTACTGACATGCCAGCTCCAGACATCAAACTCAAAACTGATCGAAAGATTATGTCTTTATCATATGAAAATCAAGCACAATCCCTCCCGATAGGAGTTTAGTATCAAACCATCATAAACTATACGATTATGTATATAAATAATCTTGTTGATATTAATGTTTGTTTTTATTTTGTTATGTTGTGAACTGTTTGATTTTGCTCATATCACGCATCACCAACAAAATCCATATTACGAATGTTGTTGCATAGACATCGCTGCAATTTGTAATAATAAGATTTTTATCTTAAGTTTCAGTCCTGTTTAAAAGCAGTTTAAGTACACTTCATACAATGGGTGCCAGTTGTTGATTTTCACAGGATGTGTGTTTGTGAAGATTACGTTTAGAAAATTATGAGGAAATTTACATATAATTATCTAATATGATCTTAAGCTTTCTAACTGTAAAGAATGATGCACACTCCCGGGCCGACAATTGACTTTAGATTGAATGTCTTAAAGTAAGATTCTTATTTTTACATTGATAATAAAATAGATGAGCAGATACTCCGACAATTCAGGCAATAATTCCATGAAACATTAAAAAGGAAACTAGATGAAGACAAGGAGATACGGTGTATATGTCAATGCGATAGCAATCCAATAACAAAAACAATCTCTTGGGACGTAATTAAGAATCAGTAGAGGCCACATGTATAAAATGTATAACGGCGAACTGTAAAGTAACAGACTCGGTATTTATTGTATGAAAGTTTTATCCGCCCTTATAGATATGTATGTGCGTGACGCCTAAACTACCTTAAAATTGAATTCTTTGTACGATTTTTTAATAGGCAGTGCTTAGTCATCTTTAAGTTACTGAGTATGTAACTCTTGAACCGGTGCGTTTTAGATTGTAAGTGATAATGACTTTTATTGTACAGTAAATGAACAGCGGTGGAAAGGCGGGAGAGTGATTTTTAACGTGTGATAACTAATTTTTAACTAATGCAAAATGTGATGAATCAAGTAGTGAAGCCAAATATCAATTCCTGTGTAAAACGGGATTGTTGATATTATTGGTCACGGGTGGAACGGTTCTACATACATACATCATGACGTATACGGTATGGTTATCGGGCCTATAAAAGGGTGTAAAGGTCCAGAGAAGAAGAACACAGCTTTTAAGTTTATCGTACCCCGTTTGATATAATATATAGATGAGTGGTTCGATATGTAAAAAATAATTGTTTGAGACAGGAAGCCTTCTAATAGAACTTTCAGTACTTTTATGGGAGTGGTTTGCATAATTTATATTCTGAATCAGGTAAACGCTTTGCACATGATATTTTCTCGTTTCATTAAGCACCTTTAGAACTAAGACAAATGGGGTGATTTTGGTAACAACTCATTCATAATTTTGAAGAGACTGAATGTTTCACGCCTTATTACACAAACATTGCGGTTTCTTAAATAATTTTAGACTATAGCTAAAAAGGCAATGGATATGTTCAGAAAGATAAAACCAAAGAACACAAAAAGTATTGAAAAACACTTGGGACACGAAAGTAAGTATGCATGCAACACCTGTCAAACTGTTTATTAAATCTGTTTATATTACTTTAGCATGTCTTATCTGAGTCATATAAATATGTCTAATGCAAACGAGTTCACTTTAAACACAAAGCTAGTGTTTGAAGTTTCATTTAGCTCATTATTTTTTGGGAAGACACTTTTACAGTTATTATAATAACACTGTTTGATATCCATGGCAAGCAAGTATTCAACAGGTCAGGAATAACCATTAATTGGTGGATTATACCCCAATTAAGGTGTAATCCATCCTCAGGGGGTGGAGGCACCAATCTTTTTTTGGTAGGGGTGAGCAGCTGAGACATCAAGTACCCCACCCTTTCCATATATTTTGTTTATCAAAAATATATACTTTGTCATGTATCATTAACATAAAACAGACCTATAGATATATTTGGATATTTTTCATCTTCTGGTACATTAGTATAGAGAATTTATTTTTGGTCCTTCTCATCATCACGTTCATGTTTATAAGCAACAGTCGCAATATTCACACCTTGCTTTTCCAATAAATTTGTCACATCTTAAACACTTTCCTCTATTTGCCCCTTTTAAATATTTCATTATGAAGAAATTTCAATAGACAATAAAATATGTTTGGTCAGATAAATGTAGTAACACCCTAGAGGGTAACACTTTCACTGAGTTTCAATTATATCAATGAAAAACTTATAAAAAGTTACATTGCCGTTCCCTCTTAACAAGCTTAAAGGACTCTGACACTATGGAAATTCTTTTGATATAAATTGTTATCATGTTTCATGTATACAAACCTACCTTTGAATGTTAATTAGGTGCTGATGTCAAAATGATCAATTGGTTTGACAAATACAAATGTAGCTGATGCATTTACGACTGTGGTTTAACGGCATCATAAATAAATACTGACATCTGATTAGTTTCAGATACTTATGATATAATCAAGCAAGTGATAATATCAACCTATTGATATATTTAATCTGAATTTCTCACTCTTTTCATATATCATGGAGCATGAAATAGTGACCTATTCCAGCAGCTCATCCCTACCACTCATTACATCATTTGTGTACATAGTAAGTGGCCCCCCTGAGAATCCACCGGTACCATTCGACATATAGTGAGATAGACCAATTGAGGTATAATGCAGTTTTTATCACAATTTTTTTTAAAGAAATTCGAGCATAAAAAATGTTTTTCATCTTCTAATATTTTACATTTATAAGGCATAATCTATGCTCTCTAGGAATATTAGAATGTCTTCCTTTTTCTATATTTAAATTATGGTCACTAATTCTTGGTTTTGTTATTAATTTTCTACATGTATATGTAAAGTTTGGTGTTCTTAAATAGTCTTCAAAAACTAGATTTGGTTTAAGGTTCTTACTATTAATAAAGTTTTACTTTTTTCATCAATTTTTTGCATCTTATTACATGTATTATGAATCAAATTTTCAAAGTAGTTTTTAGAGCTTGTGTAGCTACACCTATTCATTCTATGGAGAAAACTTTAAGATTATCTTGCAAAAGTGGAAAATACTAAATTGACCCCTCTGAAAACCTCATACATTACCAATTTCTCAAAATCTGCATGAGATATTTTAAGCACAAGAGGACCAAATGAGTCTGTAGTACATGTCATAAGTGTTTGATAGTCTACTAAACTAAAGTATACAATGACATGTATGTGTTTAAATGCCATTTTAACTCATTTAACATGTTTAAATATCCCTGTTTGAGGTACATATATTCTGACATTTTCTGTTCATATCAATGAGAATTTCAAGAGTCAGTGTATCAACTGTCATGGGGAATTCACCGATAATTAGGGAAGTACAGGAATCAGATCACAGTATCCAGTAAAGTTTCCTGTTATGTATGTAATTATTTGCACTTTGTATATATTGTTTAATGGTTTCCCTAATAGATGTAAAATTAAAATTATATTTTGTGGTATACATGTAGTAAATTTTTATTCGCATTTAGTGGGTGGTAGTATTTTAAAAACCCGTTTGAACTACATGGATTGTGCCATCCTATGGAACCAAAAGCAATCGGCTACCCAAAAAAGTAAACTATCAAACCTTCAAGGAGAGCTTTTACTAATGTTTTTTATACGTTGTTGATGCATGCATGTCTTTTACTTTCTTTCTTTAATATAATCATGATTGTGATAATACAGCCATTGTAAAGCAACTGAAATATGCATTTTGTATGTACATGTAGTTTTAGAAATCCATATCGCTCTAAGAAAAGAAAGCCATTCTATGTGTAATATTCTTTTTTTATTTATACATGTATGTCTCCTCTGGTCTTGGAAGAAGATGCTTTCTAGCCAACTCTCATTAATTTATATAAAAAATGATGAAAAAATAACTGAAAATGCCAGAATGATCTCTAACAATTTTATATTACATTATAGTGTACAATGTTAATGGTAAACATGGTAAACTAAATATAACATTCCAAATATGCGAGTCTGCACCTTTAGCCACTAGTCCAATGCCCCAGACTAGTAAAAGTTTATTAGTAGTATTAAAGTATTTGCAAACCTTTATTTAGACACATAAGAAAATTGTCAGAATTTTGGCCTTCAGACTAGTAGTTGTAAATATACAGAATTTAGAGAATCCACCAAATATTTCTTGAGTTGGCATTCATGAACATTCAAGGGAGATATACATGTATCAATAGTATTGATAAAAATTTCTTAAAGGATGTACATTTGAACTTAGGTGGAATTAAAAAAATAAAGAATTTAAAATTGATACTATAAGTCAGAAGAGCATTAGTTCAGGAACAAAATAATCTAAAAATATTGATAGGTTATGGAGCTCCTTTTCACGATATTTAATTTTAAATAAATGGCGGGAAAAGGCTGACACGGTTTTTTTACCTTATATTTGCATTGGTATTATTTGGGTCTCAAATTAAAAGAAAAGAAATCTAGAATCTGCTTAAATTTTCGTTAATGACCTTTTATGACACGTATGAGCTATTGAAGTCTTATATGAAAAGAAAAAAGGGTGTTATGGGGCAAAATATTTTACCCTGTATCGTAGGAAAAAAAACCAAGGAGTCCGAACATCTGACAAAAATTCCTTAACCTGACCTAAGTACATCTCGAGTGTAACCATTAAATAATATCTTTGTATTTTTTATCTGCTGCATTGTTTCATCAGAACTTGGAGAAGGTTGGAGTGAGAACAAAGAAGCTGTTACGGATGGTTTAACATTTCATTTGAAATACATAGGATCTACACTTATTGAAGAAGCAGCTGATGGACAGAGCTATCGGGATGGTCAGAGTGAAAAAGCTGTCAATAATATTGTTGCCATGGTATTTAAATCTACTTAATTAGATCTGCATAAACATTTGTATATTGAACATGTCAATGTTAATGTCTTTTTGATTGTTATCTTATTGACATTTTGCCTACAACTCCCTTTACAATGTTTCATACATGTACATATTGCCTGAATGATAGACTTTGCCCTTTCACAATACATATGGAGAATTTTTCATATCAAAGTCCATCTTCTTTACACTAGAGTTCTTGATAATGGAACTAGGTGTTAACTTGTTCCAGCCTTCTCATTTAACAGAAAATTAATCAGGCCAAAAATATAATACATGTGTTTCTGCTAACGTGCTGGGAAAAAATAGGGTAGGTAGGTAGGCAATATCATTTTATTTTACAAACATTTTTTAGCTGGTTATTACTAAGGAATCTGTCAGACTTTAACAGTGCTTGTTCAAAAATGGCATACAAAGTGTTACAGTTTTATAATAACAATCTTTCACTTGCAATTTTGCTAAACTTTTCATCAGCTGATCATTTAGAAGTGATGAATTCAAACTGTAACTAAGTCTAAAAATGTTTCCCTTTTTAATATTAGATAATCAAGACATGTAATACATGTGAAAATAAGACATTGAAATAGAGACTTTCAGTCTAAAATCAATTGTCATTGGAGTGTGCACCACTTCTTGTACTTTTGGAAGCTTATACATGTTATATATAAATGTTCATTACAGCTTATTATGTAAACTTCCTCCTAACTTTTGATATATATAATCTTACCAAACACATCCTGACAATATTAACATCAGGAAACAACATTGTGTATTGTACTAAAATTAAGTGGTTTTAAACAATATGGAAACCTAGATAAAAATCATCCAACTTGTACTTTGCACCAACTCTTAATCAAGATTTTGATGCACAGTTGTACATGTAACAGTGTAAAAGAGGAAAAGGCTTTTATGTTAAGGAAGTTCGCTTGTCATGTTTTGGAATTTTTGTCAGATTTTCGGAATCCTCTGGTTTTATCTATTTGAATGCCTTAAAAAATTTTGCCCATTGACCCCCATTTTTCTGTTTAAAAATCTTTTACATGCATAAATATAAGCCATCTGTAAAAGTCTTATAAAATCTTAATTATTTTTTAATAGTTTTTGAGAACTTTAACTTGTCAATAATAAAGCTATGAAAAATCAAGAGAGAATATTTTCCCGCCAAAATTTCAATGGCTAATATCTTGAAAACAAGCACATTGACCTATATTTTATTTTTGCTCTTTTTGTTCCTTTATTAATCCCCTATCAATATATACTAGTGTTATGAAAAGCTTGTTCTTTTGAAACTGAGTAGCGAACTTCCTTAATACACCAGCAAGACTAATTTTAAACAGATTTTGTATACCTTGTATCAATATGTATAAATGCATCATGTAATCAACTCTGATAGAATCTACTTGATTGTGTACTAGGAACAATGAAATTAAGTTTGTTAGGTGGACTTTGTAATCTCTATTACCTTTGTTTACTATCTATAGAAATAGTAACAGAAGTTATTTCTAGCCAATCTTATCATTCCTCAGTTTACAAAAGGATGATAAAAAACCTGTCTGACTATTTTTTTACTATATTTAGAATAACTAAAACTAAAAAAAATACATTGAAGCTAATAAAGAGTCTTGAGTTGATGGTTCAGGGAACAAAAAAAGCAAAACTAACTTTCATGCAAAATACATTCTCAAATAGATTATGTTATGAACTGAAAATTCAGATATTATTGCGAAGTTTTTATTAATGCGAATAATGCAACTAGGTGAGTATCACAAAAATTAGAACTCACATTCTGATATCTGTTGCATATATCTTTATGTAGAGTTTCCTAAAATCGCAATAATTAAACTCGCATTTAGGTTCATTCTTCAAAAATCGCATTAATAAATGCAATAATTTCTGAATTTACAGTATCTGAATTACATTTGTACATGTAACATGGGTAGTAATCAAATGAATGTAATGTTGAATATATATATATTAGAATACTTTAGATTTTATACGACAGCAAACAAATTTTGGGGTTTTATATTGCTATCACGTCGGCGTCGTTGTCGTTCAAAGACATTTTGGTTTCCGGACAATAACTTTAGTTTAAGTGTATGGATCTCTATTAAATTTAATCAAAAGGTTCAATACTACAAAAGGAAGGATGGGATATTTTTTGGGGGTGATGGTCCCAACTGTTTAGGAATTAGGGGCCAAAAAGGAGCCAAAAACAAGCATTTTTCTAGTTTCAGGACAATAACTTGTGTGTAAGTATTTTGATTACTCTGAAATTGTACCACAAGTTTCAATACCACAAGTAGAAGGTTGGGATTCATTGAGGGTAAATGCTTAAACCGTTCAGGAATTAGGGGCCAAAAAGGGTCTAAAACAAGCATTTTTCTAGTTTTCAGACAATAACTTGTGTTTAAGTGTATGGATGCCTCTTAAATTGTACCACATTTTACAAAAAGATAATTTCTTCAAATGTCATTTTTTTTGGAGGGGGGAGGGGGGATAAAAAAAAAAAAATTGGGGTGCAATTATTTTTCCTCGAGATTTAAAAAATTAAAATGAAAATTTCTTCAGACATGTCAGATATCAATTTTTGGGGAAAAAAAGGGGGGGGGGGAGGTAAAAAAAATATTTTTTTTTGGGGGGGTGGTCAATTTTTTTTCCCTCAAGATTTAAGAAATTGTCAATTTTCCAAAGAAAAATTGGGGGTCACAATTTATTTTGCTAATTCTTTGTACTGAAAGCACAGATTTACTAAGTATTGCGCAACAGCACAGTGTATTGCAAAACAGCAAGAAATCTTCAATTGAATATAAATTCAAATCATAATAATCAAGTTCTTTGACTACATTTATTCTGTGTCAGAAACCTATAATGTGTCAAATATTTAATTAAAATCCAAATTCAGACCTGCATCAAGCTTGAATATTTTGTCCATTTTTGCCCCAACTGTTCAGGGTTGGACCTCTGCAGTCGTATCCAGCTGTGCTCTGCGAAGCAGTTTATATATTATATAATTATTCTATTCACAGGCAAAGACAGCTAAAAGTAAATTAAGAAAAGTGACCCTGACAACTTCACCCGAGGGTATGAAAGTTTTAGACATGGCTTCTAAAGAATTGTTGATTGAATGCAGTATATTTAGGTGAGTATATAATTCTAAAAAAAAAAAGAATTAAAAAAATCACATATATATATGTTTTCATTTCATTTGCAACACTTTAAGAATCAGAAGAACTTAGCAATTATCAAAGCTCCTATTTAGGTGCTTAATACTTAAAATTACTTAATAATGTGATTGAAAGACATCAGGTTAGATTATGAGAGTACAAGATACATGTAAATGTGCATGTTTATTTTGCATCACACAATACATTTTATTCAGGTACAAATTGCACTGATACATGTATATCTACATGACTAGAAATAACTTTTGTTACTTACTTCTATATCATTGATATTTGTGGACAGAATAAACTTGAAAACAAATGCTGTATAATTAAGAGCATAGAAGGCCTGGATACTTTATATCTTGTATACAGATGCCTTATGTCCTGACATTTTCATTTGGCATATTATGCCCATTGTCCTTGACCTCATTTTCATGATGAAATGTTTTTAAAAAAGTGATCAAGGTTGAGTTTTCATGGTCATTTGTTCCTTTGATACTAGAAACAATAGGTCAACTATATTTAGTGAATGGAATGATTGTAAGGTGTACGTGTTCATGCGACTATGACATATTTTCCTGGTTCATTGGTCAACATGGTTAATGTTAAGTTATCGTGTTTATGACCGTTTTTTAGATGTTAGTAATAGGTCAACTATATGTTACGACTGGAATAATTGTTAGCTATATTTGTCTGGCAGGATTAATCTGAACTTGATGGCACTATCATGGATCGTTGCAATTGATAATGTTCTGTTTGGGTGATCCTCGTTGTAAAACTTTTATTAAAAAAAGACTCAACATAAATTTTGTCATGATCAGTAAAGCAAGGGAGATGTTTTAGTGTGCACCTTGTTATTTAATCATGATTATGTAAAGCATGTCAAAGATGTATATTTGAACAATTCTGTGATTTCCATTGTACTTAAGACTCGATATATTATATTGATTTTTGTGTTAACATGTTTGGAAATGCTGCTTTTGTTTCAAAATATACAATGATTTTTTTATATTTTTCAGAATATCTTTCTGTTCTGCTGACAAGAATCATGAAAAAATATTTGCCTTTATGGCAAGAAATAGCATTAATGAAACCATGGAGTGCCATGCTTTTCTGTGTGCCAAGAGAAAAATTGTAAGTGTTTTTTTTTTGTGATTTTATAATTCTAAAAATTATGGCCAAAATAATAATAATGCACCCCTATCAACCGGAGACACCAAAATAATCCCAAGTGCTCTGCTTGAGAGATTACTTTGGTTGATGGTTGATACTGTGTATGATATTGAAAAAGCCATATCGCAACAAGTTCTTAATAATTAAAAGATGAATTATTAAAGGGTCATTGTTATCTAAGAGTTTGAGAGGAATTACAGAAAGGTCTAAAACACTGCACGAAATGGTAAAAAACAGAAAATGTCTAAAGATAAGGAGGACAGCTATCAAAGTGTCAAAAGGCTATGTTTGGGAATTATTGGTTATTAACTAGACTTGAACCGTATCTTAAAACTTTTTCTGGCATTTTCATCAAAAACCAGCAGCATAACCATTTGGTTTTCCTCATGGATGGCTGATACAGTATGATTGCCATTGATTGTATTACACATACGTTGTGATTGTATTTACTAACTAGTATATCATAAATATGAGTAACAAAATCATTAAAACAAATTCTATTTTATTGTTATAGGCACAAGCAGTTACATTGACAGTGTCCAAAGCATTTGAATTGGCCAGTGAAAAATGGAATACTGAAAATGAAAATAAAAATTCTGTAAGTAATTAATTTTATCGGATATTCATCTTGTGCTACTATATTGAAAGATTCCAGATAGGAAATAAACTTTTTTATAGATGTGAATGACAAAAACCACCAAAGATTAATACCTATTGATTTTTAAAATTTTTATGGTTTGTCATTCCAGAGTTATGGGACTTTGTAAGTCATATTTTAAGGTAATACATTTGTAATAACTGTATGCTGAATAATATCCTGAAAAATGTTTGTTTTGAGATTCCTTTTACTAACCTCTGATTGGATGCCTTCTAAATATTCCAATTTATTCTTGCAACAATATCAGTATGACTAAGAATGACATATCATGCTCTCTTGGCACAGCTATTTATTATTCAAAATATGTTTGCTTTGTTTATAGAGGAAGATTTTTTGAAATCTTTAAAAAGTTGTTACAGTCTCAGCAAAATCTGGAGAAAATAGATGAGTAAATACCTTTCATTTCTGAAGTATAAAGATTGATATACAACATTATATAAAAAAAAAGAAATTAAATGTAAATAATAAAAAAACAATAAGAATGTTATAAAACCAACAAAAGAAATGATAAAATAAGATAAGATTCCATTTGAGGTGAGCAAATATTTACTTTAAAATGTCAAACTCGGTAAATAATGATGGAATCTTATCTTATTTTATCATTTCTTTTGGATATTTCCGGAAATATTTTGCATCAATAAGCACAAAAAAGGTAAGACTTTGTAACTATGCAAAAACTTCTAGCCGGCAATGAAGATTTCATGCCAAAATTGGGTCTCAAAGTTTCCCCCCAAAATTCTTTCTCAAAGTCCAGACTTAAAAAATGGTTTCAGCGTTATGACGTCGTAGGAAGGCGTCACAGAAAAAAAATTAAAATAGCCTTGCAAGACGTCATAATTATTTGGACTATACAACCACATGAATATTCTAAAGTCATCTAGGTCAACATACAGGTGTTTCAAGTGTTTGCAATTAGCATGCTCTTTCCTTTTTGTCGAGCCTGCGACTTTTGTCGCAGAAAGCTCGACATAGGGATAGTGATTCGGCGGCGGCATTAGCTAACTTCTTAAAAGCTTTATATTTAAGAAGGTGGAAGACCTGGATGCTTCATACTTTGTATATGGATGCCTCATGTTACGAAGTTTCCGTCAGTCACATGTCCAATGTCCTTGACCTCATTTTCATGGTTCAGTGACTACTTGAAAAAAAAGTTAAGATTTTTTGTAATGTTAAATTCTTATTATAAGTAATAGGATAACTATATTTGGTATGTGCGTACCTTGCAAGGTCCTCATGCCTGTCAGACAGTTTTCACTTGACCTCGACCTCATTTCATGGATCAGTGAACAAGGTTAAGTTTTGGTATTCAAGTCCATATCTCAGATACTATAAGCAATAGGTCTAGTATATTCGGTGTATGGAAGGACTGTAAGGTGTACATGTCCAACTGGCAGGTGTCATCTGACCTTGACCTCATTTTCATGGTTCAGTGGTTATAGTTAAGTTTTTGTGTTTTGGTCTGTTTTTCTTATACTGTATGCAATAGGTCTACTATATTTGGTGTATGGAATGATTGTAAGGTGTACATGTCTAGCTGGCAGGTGTCATCTGACCTTGACCTCATTTTCATGGTTCAGTGGTTATAGTTTAGTTTTTGTGTTTTGGTCCGTTTTTCTTATACTTTATGCAATAGGCCTTCTATATTTGGTGTATGGAATGATTGTAAGGTGTACATGTCCAACTGGCAGGTGTCATCTGACTTTGACCTCATTTTCATGGTTCAGTGGTCAAAGTTAAGTTTTTGAGTTTTGGTCTTTTTTCTTATACTATATGCAATAAGTCAACTATATTTGGTGTATGGAAATATTCTATGATGTACATGTCAGTCTCGCAGGTTTTATTTGACCTTGACCTCATTTTCACGGTTCATTGCTCAGTGTTAAGTTTATGTGTTTCAGTCTGTTTTTCTTAGACTATAAGCAATAGGTCAGCTATATTTGTTGTATGGAAGGATTGTAAGCTGTTCATGTCTACCTTGCATGGTTCATCTGACCTTGACCTCATTTTCACGATTCATTGGTCAATGTTTAGTTTTCTTGGTTAAGTCTCAGTTTCTTAGAAACTATAAGCAATAGGTCAACTATATTTAGTGTATTGAATAATTGTAAGGTGTACATGTATTTCTCGTTTGGTTTATATGACCTTGACTTCATTTTCTTGGATCATGTTAAGTTTATGTAATAGTTGTAGTAAAGCTTTCATTTAGGACTATCCACATAATATAAATGGTTAATAAAGAAGGCGAGACATTTCAGCGTGTGCACTCTTGTTAAATTTTTTTGTATTTTGTTTCCGCTAACCTTTGTCCTCCATTTCCAAAATAATTTTCAGTATTATTGTATAACAGTTGTTATATATTTCTACAAATTATTCCCTCCTCCGTAAGCCAGCTAAATGTTGTGTTGTATATATTTTATTTAAAATGGTACATTTTTAGTAAAATATTAGCAGGTAAATTACCTGGTTTTGATTAAGAACAGTTTTTATAAAGTACACATTAAAGAGGATTATAAAATTCTGGGAACCATTCAGGAAATCATTTAAATAACAAAACCAATTTTTTTTCCACAAACAGTGGAATTTGTCATATAAAGAAAAGAAGATGTGGTATAATTGCCAATGAGACAACCCTCAACAAGAGACCAAATGACCTGGACATTAACTACTATAGGTCACCATACCGCCTTCAACAATGAGCAAAACCCACTACAGAATCTACATGATCTAATAAAATGAGTTTCAGATATTATGCGAATCTAATGGTAACATGAAGTTGTTTAAATCCTTGCCCTTTGGTCTTGTTGATAGTTGTCTCATTGACAATCATACCACATCTCCCTTATTTATGTTGTCTTATTTTTTTTTGAACAATCATATAACCAGTATACAGTCATAAATGAATAATTATGTACATTTTCCGTAAAATAATGCAAATATTAGTCAATAGTATGATCCTTTTTGTAGAAACTTTACAAAATATGCGGAATGTGATAAGCCCCAATATACAAGTTATAAATCCAGAAAAAATTGAAATAAATTTAAAAGAGACTTTCACAGATCTTCCATCAACTTTGATTTCTCCAAATAATTTTTTAAAAAAACATATGCGCATGATATTTGATACTGTTTTTCACTTTTCAGAATGAGACTGCACAGTCAAGATTGGAAGATAACAATTTCAATAATTCAACAACTTACTCAAGTAAAAGAGATGGTATGTATATATTTATATAAGAAAAATATGCAGAGTACTTAATACACAGTTGTTTTAAGGATAAGCAGATATGAAAAGGACTTTTTGGAATTGATACAAGCCTATAGAAACTTGGTACTTGGTTGAACAATAAAGTTCAGGATTACCCACAAACAATGGTATCCCACAAATAGTAATCCACTGTCTTTGATACTTTGATAATCACAGAAATTATATTCAGGCAAAAAAAAATAAATATGTCTATTTAAGGGTACATCATAAAAAAAATATGATAGGTAGGTTGGTAGTTCCATTTTTTTTTTCATTTTATTTTTTACAACATGATTTTGAGTCTTGCAGTCCTTATTGCTGTGGTCCGAGTTGTCCATGGACCATTGGCCAGTTTACCCATATTGTTAATGATTGAATTATTTCCTTTGGTTATTGGTTGGAAAAAAATGGCGGCAAAGTGTTTATTTCAAATAAAATGACTTAGGGTCAGTCGGGTATCAAACATAACAAACATATATTTTTTTGGCCTCAGAGGATGAAAATTGGGGCTAAAAGTATTTTCCTACCAAGTGGTAGCATTTAACTTTTTTGATACAAGGCTCACATTAAGGATAATATTATACAATTACTGTCTTTTGATGAGGTAAATATGTGATTTATTGACTTTAGAAAAAAATGATATTCACCAAGGCCAACATCTATTTAAAGTAAATATCAGTTCTTCAAAAGTCAATTAAACCACATATTTACCAAAGCAAAAGACAATATTAATTGTGTTATTCCATATTCTGAGAGAGAGGTAAATGTATTAAATGACAGTTTAATATAAACCAAAAGTAAGTGTACATCAAACATTTTAACGTTATTATACAGGTAAAAGCATGTGATGTTTATTCAGTGAATATCACTTTTCTTCAGGTGAATATGCTGTTTTATTCAAAATCCAATTTGTATAGAAAACCCTACTAATATAATACCAATATGAAATAAATTTTAATACCTTACTCAAAGTAAGTCACCAGGATGCACAGCCAAACTTCAATTTGTTTAAATCGACTACTACAACAAATAGCATGAAGTCAAACTGATTGATGGTCAAAGTATTGTATTAAATAATTTAGAATTAACAAAAAGTAGCAATTTGGTGATTTTTTTTGTAAAACAGCATGAAAGGTTATATAATGCAAAATTTGTATTAGTTGACTAACAGAAAGGTGACTGGTACCTGCCATTTCTGGGCTCAACCAAAACAAAATACTGGTTAGGAAAATTAAAACTAGAGCTGAGGAAAAAATATTGCGATACAAAGAAACCAGTTAATTGTTTGCTCTTAATGGAAAATGTAAAGGTCATAGATCAGACTGATTATTGGGGTAATTTAAGGATAAGAATATATATTCTTGTACTTTTATTTTCCATAAAAAGATTTAAAAAATTCTAAAAGAATGAATTCCAGAAATGTGCAATGCAAAAAAGCAAACAGTTGAAGATGTCTAAATTCCTTTGAACTGATTCATGATGGTCTTATGTAAGTTTATGAGCACATGTCTGTTCAACTATTTCCTGCTGCTGAACGTAAAGTTAACATATACTGCAGCAAGAGAGTTCTCAATGTTTTACACTGGATGTCAATCAATCTAAATATTTTAAGATTTTTAAAATCTGTTTGAAAATTTTTTTTATGTTTGGTGTGTTTGAAGCTCTGTCATGCTGACTAATCTGTCTAATTAATTTTGATTTCAAAAGCTATCAGATTTGTTTTAGAAGCTCTTGTAATGATTTAATTTGATTGGATTAATTTAAATACATGTATATAAACATAATAGTGGAGAAATAGTATGCCAGTTTTTAACTTAAAGCAATCCATTTATGTGATAATTTTATGTTTTGCACTAGATATACAAATGTTAATTTCAGGAAATAATTCACCAATACCAAAACTTCAGTCACCAAAATCTGTAAACAGATCGTCACCAACACCTAAACAGAGTAAAGAATGGGTAAGTTCTATGACTGCATCCTTTGAAAATTAAATTATTTGAACATTTTAGTATCACTATAAACAGTTTCATTACATGTATGTTTCATAAGAATTGGTACTTTTAATTGGCTGAAAGCAATCACGCGGCATTCCAAAATCAAATTTTTTTTTTTTTTCTCAATAAAATTCAACATTGATGACACACATGACATCACTACAATGCATAGGAAATCAAACAAATTTTATTGGGTTGTAAAAGAGTAGATAGTGCACACATTTCTAATATGAAGTGCTTCCTCGCATCATTCAAAATGTGCTTCAGTCAACACTTTTACAATCCTATAAAATTACAAAAACAATCATTAGATTCTTAATTGAAGCAATACTTTATGGTGTTTAAGTGAATTTTGTATCATTTCTGTCTTATTCTTTGGGTATCTTAGTGTGATATCTGCTCAGAAATAATATCAGAAGTTACAAATATGTCACAATTTCCTGCAAACTATTATGTTTTCAGTTTTTTTCCTTATTTCTGTCTTGTTAAAGTCGACAAAGGACAAGACAGACCAGTCTAGAGTGAATTGTGGTACAGTACAAATTTGTTACATCAAATTCAGTTTTTGTCTCTCCTTGACGGAGTCAAAAAGCGAGACATAGGTATGCTGTTTCCGGCGTCTGCAACTGCGACGGCAGCGGCGTCAACAATGTATTAGTTTGTGATTAGGTCTAGTTCATGGTGAACCACCAGTGGTAGGTCAATGATATTTGGTATGCAGTTGTATTAGCATTGGCACATCTCATTACCATGGAGATTATTTGGCCCTGACCCCTCAGTCAAGGTCTATTGACTTTGAAATTTTGCTTAGTTTACATGTATTAGTTTGTAATTAGGTCAGTTTATGGGGAACCACTAGTGGTAGGTCAATGATATTTGGTATGCAGTTGTATTAGCATTGGCACATCTCATTACAATAGAGATTATTTGGACCCACCCCTTAAAACAAGGCCTATTGACTTTGAAACTTTGCTTAGTTTACATGTATTAGTTTGTGATTAGGTCAATTTATGGGGAACCACTAGTGATAAGTCAATGATATTTGGTATGCAGTTGTATAAGCATTGGCATATCTCATTTCCATGGAGATTATTTGGCCCCGCCCCCTCAGTCAAGGTCTATTGACTTTGAAACTTTGCTTAGTTTACATGTACTAGTTTGTAATTAGGTCAGTTTATGGGGAACCACTAGTGGTAGGTCAATGATATTTGGTATGCAGTTGTATTAGCACTGGCACATCTCATTACCATGGAGATTATTTGGCCCGCCCCCTCAGTCAAGGTCTATTGACTTTGAAACTTTGCTTAGTTTGCATGTATTAGTTTGTGATTAGGTCAGTTTATGGGGAACCACTAGTGATAGGTCAATGATATTTGGTATGCAGTTGTATAAGCATTGGCACATCTCATTACCATGGAGATTATTTGGCCCCGCCCACTCAGTCAAAGTCGATTGACTTTGAAACTTTGCTTAGTTTACATGTATTAGTTTGTAATTAGGTCAGTTTATGGGGAACCACTAGGGTAGGTCAATGATATTTGGTATGCAGTTGTATTAGGATTGGCACATCTCATTACAAAGGAGATTATTTGGCCCCTCCCCCTCAGTCAAGGTCTATTGACTTTGAAACTTTGCTTAGTTTACATGTATTAGTTTGTGATTAGGTCAGTTTATGGGGAACCACTAGTGATAGGTCAATGATATTTGGTATGCAGTTGTATAAGCATTGGCATATCTCATTTCCATGGAGATTATTTGGCCCCACCCCCTCATTCATGGTCTATTGACTTTGAAACTTTTGCTTAGTTTTCATGTATTAGTTTGTGATTAGGTCAGATTATGGGGAACCACTAGTGATAGGTCAATGATATTTGGTATGCAGTTGTATAAGCATTGGCATATCTTATTTCCATGAAGATTATTTGGCCCTGCCCCCTCATTCATGGTCTATTGACTTTGAAACTTTTGCTTAGTTTTCATGTATTAGTTTGTGATTAGGTCAGTTTAAGATGAACCACTAATGTAAAGTCAATGATATTTGGTATGCTAATGTATTGGCATTTGCAAGTTTCATTTCCATGGAGATTATATAACCCCACCCCCTAATTATGGTTCATTGACTTTGAAACTTTTACATAGTTTACAAGTTAATGTTTGTGTTTAGGTTTGTTTAAAGGGAACGACTTATGAAAAGTCAATGGTATTTGGTTTGCAGTTGTATTAGGATTGGCACATCTCATTACAAAGGAGATTATTTGGCCCCTCCCCCTCAGTCAAGGTCTATTGACTTTGAAACTTTGCTTAGTTTACATGTATTAGTTTGTGATTAGGTCAGTTTATGGGGAACCACTAGTGATAGGTCAATGATATTTGGTATGCAGTTGTATAAGCATTGGCATATCTCATTTCCATGGAGATTATTTGGCCCCACCCCCTCATTCATGGTCTATTGACTTTGAAACTTTTGCTTAGTTTTCATGTATTAGTTTGTGATTAGGTCAGATTATGGGGAACCACTAGTGATAGGTCAATGATATTTGGTATGCAGTTGTATAAGCATTGGCATATCTTATTTCCATGAAGATTATTTGGCCCTGCCCCCTCATTCATGGTCTATTGACTTTGAAACTTTTGCTTAGTTTTCATGTATTAGTTTGTGATTAGGTCAGTTTAAGATGAACCACTAATGTAAAGTCAATGATATTTGGTATGCTAATGTATTGGCATTTGCAAGTTTCATTTCCATGGAGATTATATAACCCCACCCCCTAATTATGGTTCATTGACTTTGAAACTTTTACATAGTTTACAAGTTAATGTTTGTGTTTAGGTTTGTTTAAAGGGAACGACTTATGAAAAGTCAATGGTATTTGGTTTGCAGTTGTATTAGCATTGGCACATCTCATTTCCATGGAGGTTGTTTAGCCCTGTGCCTTCAGTCATGGTTCATTGACTTTAAATATTTGCATAACTTACATGTTAAAGTATTGCTATTTTAATTTCAACATTTCCATTATCAAAATATCAAATAAGCGAGACATATCTCTGTGTTAACAGTTTATGTTACATATGAAATTGAAGTTTCAGTAAGTGTAGCATGTTACTGTTGGTAAGAATATTTTTATACACTGATTGAGTGGTATAGAAATATGCATAAATATTTTTTTTGGCTGCAAGAGAAGTAGTAGTACTGTATTTTCTTTTATTTTGCAGCTGAAATTTGAAGATGACAATTTAGATGATGACTTTTCAAGGTAATGTATTTATAGTGAATGATCAGTTTATTTAGAATACACATTTTTATTATTTTGCTTAATTTGGTCACAGTTTGGTTTAAGACCTGGCTATTTTGTTAAACTTAGGTTTAACATGTTCCGCCATTTCAATGATTTGGCCTTCATATTTATACTACCACTACAAAAGGGGTGGGTTGTGGGGTATATGGGTTCACTTCTGTCATCTGTCAGTCTGTAACATATTTCTGTATAAAGATAAGGAGATGTGGTATGATTATCAATGAAACAACTATCCACCAGAGTTCAAATAGAAGAGCTCTATTTATGAAGTGTCTCAAAGTTATTTTAGGAATGACTGTAACATTTTTTCTGTCTATGAAGAAATAACATCATAAATATGGTGCACACTGAATAACCCGTGTAGTAGATTATTTAAAAGTGTGCACCACATTTTTGTGGTCATTTCAAATAGACAGAAAAAATATTAGTCATTCCTTATAATTTAATTCTAAATTCCATTTTTAAGGAGTAAACCATGAAAAAATGTTCATGATGTCACGGTCACAAGACAAAATTATGTCTTTGAGCTGATATACAAAAAACTTCCAGCCAATCAGAAGACGTGTTACATCCAAAATTAAATTATACAGATATAAAAATTATCCTTCAACTTATCGGATAATTATCTGGTTAGGGATAACAGATAATTGTCTGGTAACGGATAATTTTCAGAGACTATATTGATAGAGTGCTATCATCCATCCATCATTTTGCCTCTTAAGAAGGTCCATGAAGGACCAAAAACTTAAGGATTTGAATCATCACCAGACACTGTTAATTATGTGTTTTCAGCATTACATATATTTTTTATTTGTCATAAATTTATTTCCACTGATATTTCTTGCAGTTTTAGATTCATCTATTTCGTCTGTACAATATTTTATTATCATTTATTTTTTTTAGGCTGGCAGAAAATAGAATTAGAAAAGTAGCTGAAGGGCCACCAAGACTGGATAAGATCCCATCCTTCCATACAAATTTAAAAGAGGAAGATATGGATGATTCTATTACAAAATACCTAGACACAAAAACATGTAACGAGGAATTTTCTCGCCAAAGGTCAATGGAAGATCTACTTGTTATATAGCTGCCACCTGATCTCACAAAAAAACCACACAGGGTGCTGTACATTCATCCATAATACAAGTGCTATAGATCTAACAGGTAACCAGTCAGGAAACCAAATCATGCCATGTACTTTTATTGCAGATCTGACTTAGTACCAAAAGTAGGGTACGCATGTATCAGATAATGCCATCCAATTTTTATCACAAGTGCTTTTTTGTTATTAAGTTTTAGTGCTTTGCATTTGTCTCTATGAGATGTAAAAATGCACTTTTAATGTTACTCAGAAATTATTTTTACAGTTTGGGTTATGCAGGATGTGAATTTAAGGTGTTTTTTATGAAAATTGAAAGTCTTATAGTCATAAATAGTGCCCTCTCAAAGAAAATTTTTATTCCTAAAACTCGCACACTTAAAATTTGAATAAAGTTAGTAAAAAAATTTAAACTTAACTAGGTTCATTTCCTCTTATTGTTATCTGATTTATAATGGTCAAAACTTCAAAGGGATAATAATAATAAAGAATGTAAAAGCCCTCAAACCTTGAAATGAATTCAGCTCTAGCATTGTAATTTGATTAATGCACAAGTGCCTGAATATATAGATACAAAGAATTCAAATTTAGAACTGTTAAATAGCAGTTTAATGAATAATAGAAAAAGTATGTAAGAGCTGTCAAACCTTGAAATAAATCTGCATCATGCCTGGTAATTTGATTTTTAGGCAAGTGCCTAAAAAAGTGTGTAAGAGCAGTCAATCCTTCAAATGAGTTTGCATCTAGCCTTGTCATTTGACTTTTGGACAAGTCCCTAAATACATACAAAACAAACACACAGAAAATTTGAAACTGTTGAATAGCAGTGGACTATGTACTAAAAAGGTATGCAAGAGCCCTTAAACCTTGAGATGAATTTGCATCTAGCGTGGTAATTTTGATTTTTTAGTTGTTTGATTTAAATAATGTATATATACAAGCAGATAAATTATTGAATTTACACTATAAGTAATTTTTTTTCCACATCCTGTTCAGTAAATGAATTATAAATGTGCACAGAAAGTAGCCGAAAACCCAGATGCACAATCACACACAGTAAAATTTGAAACTCTTGAATAGTAGTCTAATGAATAAAAACAAATGTATATAAGAGACGTCAGACCTTGAAATGAATTTGCATTTAGTGCTGTGATTTGATTTGGGACAAGTTCCTGAATGCATACGTACAAAGAGATTTACTTTGAAAAAATATGAGAAAGAGCTTTTAGAAAACTGAAGGAAATATATCATACATACTTACATATTTTTTTGTCACCCTGTTCAGTTAATTTATTTTAAAGTGCACAGAAAATAGCTTAACGCACACATACTCAGATAATTTGAAACTGTTGAATAGCAGTGAAATGAATAATAAAAAAGTTTGTAAGAGCCTTCAAACCTTGAAATGAATTCACATCAAGCGTAATAATTTGAAAATTGTACAAGTCCTCAAATACATACATACATACAAAAAGATTTATGTTGAAAAAAGTTGTTCAATGGAATTGAGATAGAGCTGTTTGAAAACTGACTTATATATTGCATACATACAGACCAATAAATTATATTGTTGGCACTGGAAGTCATTTTTTTCCTGTACAGTTATTTAATTATATATGTTCACAGAAAGTAGCCTAAAACACACACAGTTTTGAAACAGTTTTATAGTAGTCAAATATATAATTAAAAAGTATGTAAACTTTCTCCCTATGTTCAAAACCGATTGGTGGCCTTGGGCTGTTTTGGTTGGATTGTGTCTTTGAAACATTCCCCGTTTCCATTCTCTTTTCTAAGGTCCCTCAAACCTTTAAATGAATTTATGTCTAGCGTTGTTATTTGATTGTTGTTCAAGTCCTCCCAAATACATATAGAAAGAGATGTATTTGGAAAAATTTTGGCCTCTGGAAGTGAGATAGAGCTACTGTGGATTTATTATTAGTCGTTAGATACCAGTTTTCATGGGTTTCGTGGGAACAGGATAACCACAAATTCAAATGTTCAACGAATAACAAATTTTCTTTAGGCTGTGTATGCAAAGTTTGGCAAAACCACAAAATCAAACACTCATGAAAATTTAAGTTTTCCTCAATCTACGAAAATTGATACCCACAAAAATAAATGAATCCACAATATATGAAAACTGACTGATATATTGCATACGTACTGAATGATGAATTCTTGAATGTTTTTGTTCATCCTGATCAGTTAATGATGCACACAGAAAGAAGTCTAAAGCACACATACACAAAATTTGAAATTCTTGAATAACTTTCAAAAATTCTTTGTAAGAGCTGTCAAACCTTGAAATAGATTTGAATCTAGTGTGGTAATTTGATTTCTGGGCAAGTTCCTGAGTACATAAATACAAAGAGATTTATGTTAACAAAAAAAGTTGGTTGCTGGATGTAAGAGTCTTCAAACCTTGAAATGAATTCGCATCAAGCGTGATAATTGGATTTTTGTACAAGTCTTCAAATACATTTAAAAGTCTTGAATAGCAGTCAAATGAAAATTAAAAGGTACGTTAGAGCCTTCAAACCTTGGAAGAAATTTTCGTCTATTGTAGATATTTTATTTTAAGACAAGTCCCTGAATACATATATTCATAGAGATTTATTTACACTGAAAAAAGTTTGTCAAATGGAAGAGAGATAGAGCTGTTTGAAAACTGGATGAAATATTGCATACATACTGATACATAAATTATATTAAAAGTATGTAAGAGCTGACAAACCCTTCTAAATATTCGCATCAACCATGGTAATTTGATTTTTGGACAAGTCTCTGTATACATAAATACAAAGAGTTTCAAGTTAAAAAAAAGTTGGCCACTGGAAATATAAAGATGGAACTGTTAGAAAACTGATTGAAATATTTCATACATACTGACAGATTATTTGTATATGTGCACAGAAAGTAGCTTAAAGCACTCATTACACACAGAAAATTTGAAATAGTTCGAATAGCAGTCTAATGAAAAATTATTTTATACTGACAGATAAATTATTGAAATGGCACTGAAAGTCAGTTTTTTTTTTTTTTTTTTTTTCGCCTTGTTCGGTTAATTATATATGTGCACAGAAAGTAGCTTAAATCACACATACACACACAGAACATTTAAAACCGTTGAACAGCAGTCTAATGAAAAATCAAAACTTTGTAAGAGCCCTCAAACCTTGAAATATATTTGCATCTAGGGTTTTAATTTGATTTTAAGTCCCGTCCCTGAATGCATAAATACAAAGAGATATACGTTGAAAAAGGTTGGCCACTGGAAATGTGATAGAGCTGTTAGAAAACTGATTTAAATATTGCAAACATTCTGACAGATTAATAATCATTATTCATGTATGGCTAAATGATTAAGGTTAAAAGTAACAATGTTTAAGGTCTGCTCTAAAACCTGAAGAATTCTGAGAGAGTTTTATAACATAATTAATGAAGAACTTGAATACAAAAACCTATTTCTTAGTTACAATATTTTACAACAGCTAGGTTAATAGTATTGTTGGCAAACTGAAGTTTAAATCTTCTAATGTTAGATATTTCTGATCATGTGAAGTGTTTTTGAAATGCTCCAAACAGAAAGCTAAATGTCTGTTTTATTTTTATTTTTTCTATTAGCTAATATTTTGATGTCAATCTGTTTATGCTAAAAGCAAATTTGTAGTCACATATTGCATGAAAATAGTATATCTGTCATCTGTTTTTACCTTTCATAAATATTCATGTAACTTCCAATTGTAAGGGAGTCTGAGCCAAAAGTTTGGCAAGCAAAAGATAAATAGTAACAGCTTAATTTTAAGGGGAAAAATAAAATGTCCAACTACAATTTGCTCTTCTTCCTGGTTTCCTCATATGACCGCCCTCCTTTTGCTAAGTATGGTTTGTTAGCGTTTGTCTATTATTTGCTTTCATTACCTACCTCAGATTTCCCATACTCCTCAGGCTTCTTATATAGAGTAACTGCCTTAGGTGGTTTTTGTTTATTTTTTTAAATCTAAAAAGAAATAAAGTATTGTAATATACTAGTCATGTTAAGAAGGTTGATATTTTACTTTGAATACATTGAGGCCAGATAAGATAATTTCTAGATTCTAGTCCCTGTTTTCCACTATTTATCTCTTACAGTGATTTGTTAAAAAAAAGGGGAAGGAAAGTTGGGAATCGTTCGTGTTTATACAAGGAAAAAAATAATGAAACTTTACCTGTCTGCACATGTTTTATGAAAGTTCTAATGTGAATTTTGGAACTATTTTCTATGGTCTAGGAAACTTTTCTGCAACATTTATCAATGCACAATGAAAAACAAATGGCTATTTATATTGTTTTCAGAGAATTTATATGGAATTGAGCAAACTTTTACTCAATGACTTTAAAATGTAATTTTTTGGCTATTCCAAGTTGAGAGGGACTGAACATAGTTTAAAAACAGGGTACAATGTAAATGATTTTAATTAATTGAAATGATTTATAAAAAATGTAATATGAATTAGGCATTGTCTGACAATATATTTTTGGATTTATTATGTTATTGGGTTGCTGTCTCATTGATATATACCAGCATCATCATTTATTCACATTCACAATGCCTAGAAATTCAGCTCAGTCCAAAATGTATGGAATTAATGCCAAATTTATTTTTTATCTACCTACTCTTTTGATCCTAAAATTTCTTAATAGAAATTTAAAGGATACAAATATCCATTTATCACCATTTTTCGGAATTTATCACCATTTTTTTGGTATTTATCACCATTTTACTGAATTTACACTCCATTTTAATTAAATATGAAATTATCAAATAAATGATAGATGATAGTTCTCAAAAATAGAGAACCTGAATATAAAATGAGAGAAACTAAATATATTGCTTCCACAATAATTTGTAAATTTAAAAAGAAACCAATATAATATTGCTTGCTCAGCCTTTATTTTAAGCAGAAAAAATTATTATTTTAACAATACACATGCACCTTTTATTGTAATCAGATGTGTTGATCTAAAGGTTTTTGATTAAGGATGTTCGCTACTCTGTTTCAAAATAACAAGCGGTCGTGTGCTTGTTTTCGAGATATAAGCCATTGAAAATTTGGCAGGAAATGATTCTCTCCAGATTTTTCCTAAATTTAACATTGGCACCTTTTTTCTTTCAAAAACAATGAAAAAATAACAAGGAATTTATAAGATTTTCTAATGTGGCTTTTTAAACTATATGTAATAAAATTATGAAAAGAAAAGTAGGGGTTAGCAGGCAAAATTTTTAATGGCACTACATGGATAAAACCAGAGGATTCCGAATATCTGGCTAAAAATAAAAAACAAGAGGAGTGAACATCCTTAACAAATTAAATCACAACATTTGTATGTATAAATACTGAAATTATATTAATAAACAAAATGCAATTACCTCCTATATGATAAATGGGGTCTTATTTGCAATAAATTGACTGTGTTATCAAGAATAATGTATAAAGAAAATAATATGATATATAATGTCCATATAGTCTATGCATTATACAGTAATATACATTATAATAGTTAGATAATAATTGCTTTATAATAACTAGTTATAATTATAAGTTAACAAATTGTTGATTCGTGTAAATACCATTGGTAATCACCTTAATTGATGCACGGCCTTGGGATGAGGGTGATGGAGTAAGAGTATTGATAGGTTTCGATATGACATAATTTGAGGTTTGAGTTATTTCCCTTTGCTGCCATTTTGGAGGAATAAATGGTTGATTTTCCTATCTGACTAACCCATTTGAAACATGTGATACTACCAAGTCTGATAAGATATCCTTACTGGATCTTAGTGATGAATCAAGCAAGGCTAAAAGAAATTAAAGTCTAGCGGTCTAGCATACAACTTGAATTATCTGAATTATGAAGGAATTTGTATAGACCTCCAACATATCAACAAAAGGGATAAACTATTGCTCAAATTGTGTCGATCAAAACCAATTGACAAAAGTCCATGATGTGTTTGTGACCAGGATTGTTTTATGAACTTGCTTTATCTGTGATTTAGATTTGATTAATGTATATGTAATTATATGTAATAACATAACAATGCAATGCTTTATTTTTTTTCCATACATGTATGTTAGAATTTTATTGCGTATTTTTATTAATTCACAAGATGCAAAAGGGTGAGAATTAAAATTAATGTTTTACATTTTAAAATATTGTTGGCTTAATTCACATTATTTAATTTTGCAACGATCTATGTTAAGGCCTTCCTATCAATGTTTATCCATTACACAGGCAATTTTCACTCATTATTTTCGTGTTAAATTGCATTAGGAAAAATTGTCTGTTTGTGAAAGAAATTTGTCATCAAAAAACAATTTTATGTTGTTTTTTTTTCTTGAAAGTTTAAAATTGATTTGATAAAGCTAAAAATATAACAATGTGTTCATAAAATTCTAGAGATTGATCCGTTATAATGTTTGATATATAACCTAGTTTAGATATTCAGTGCCATTATTATAAGCCATATTCATAAGGTTGTTTTATTTAGGTTAAAATCTCTTTAAATTTGTATTTCATACTCCTAAAGGGATTACCATAGTCCAACACCACTCTTAGTTTTTATCTTCCAACCTTGTAACTAATCACCAGTCATCACCATTCTTACTTCTTGACTCTTCTTTTAAAGCAAGATGGACAATTTTTTTAAGTCAAAATAACATTAGAGTACCTGTTATAGACATCAAACTTAAAAGTCTTGCTTTAATTCTACACTTTAAATTGATAACCAGTATTTTCATTGGCCAAATTATATCCATTTAAACTGATTAAAGTTTTCATCCAACTTCAACTGCTTTTCAACAACCACATTTGAAATGTATTCAGGTAGAGATATATCCCATGTTTTTTTTATTACTTTATGATAATTTTGTCTATTAATTTAAGAAAATCTTATAATATTTCAAAATATTAATTAATAAGTTTAGAGTAATTTTTTGATATCAACATTGAACAATAACTAAGTTTTGTAAAATTTAGAACTATTAAGTCCATGTAAATTTGAAATTTGATCTGTACATTTATTATTGTTAATCTGCAGCATAATACCTGATAAATAAATGCAATTTTCATACATAATTAAGAGAATTATTGCAAGTGATAAAGTGTGAGTTTATTTTTTGTGATTTTTGTCTTGTGTGTATTTAACTTCTAACTTAAAAGTAGAGAAAAATGTTGGATTCTCTATACCAGGCACAGGTATTAGTGGTCTTTTCTGTGGTGATCCCAGATCTCACTAGTCTTATTACAAAACTAAATTGTTATTGAAAAGTTTCAATATTAATGAAACTCATATGTAAAAATATTTTTTGTCTACATTTTCTGTAGTAAAATATAGTTATATACTGTAAATTTATAAATTAATGCATGCATTTATTATTGTGAATCCTTGGCAGTTGCCAAAAATGTCAAAAATATATTAATTATGATAGCAAAAATTTTATCAAGGAAAATCAGTACTGAAATTATTATTGCGAACCTAAGACTGTCACATTTTTCGCATTAATATAAACATCTCAGTAATCAATGAATGGCTGGATCCGCCCCCTGTACTTGCACTATGCCACCAAACCATTTTCGCCAGTGTTCTCCCCAGGTCCTTTTAGCATCATGGTAATGTGATATTATATTTCTTCAATGTGATGCTATCTGAATTGGTTTTCTTACAAATTATGTTATGGATGGGATGCTATACTTTTTAGAAACAAGATGGTATTTCAAATTTCCCTGTTAACCAGGATGCTAAATGAAATACCTGGGGAGCTCACCTTTTTCAATGTTGTTACTTTACAGTTTAATCGCATAAGCTGATATTGATTCATGCATGAAGTGAGACATTTACATTGTAAATATTGTTGATCAACAGAATCAATTAGTAAGCAACATAAAGTTAAAACATGTATTGATAATAATTAATATTTACATGTATATATTTAGTTATATATTTCCCCTTTCCAGTTTGTACAAGTCTAAATATATTATATTAAGCATGAAATGGATTGTAAGTATAAAATTGTATATTGAATTTATTTGCATGTAGCCGGTATTTTTCATTATCTGGTTGTCATCTAAAATTTATAACCATGGTAACAGCTTTTTGTTTATTTGTTGGCATTTTTTTTACTAATCATTATGCAATGCAAGTTCTCAGGCTTTAGTTTTGTTTTAAATGTCTAGTTTGTTACTTAGATATCTGAATTTGTAGATCTAAATTGTGTATTTTTGTTGAAAACTTAATAAATTTTTTACCAATTATGTTGGATTTTTGTATGTGTGATGATGATCAGAATATAAAAACTATCTGTACCCATAAGAAAGAAAAATGAGGAACTCACTCAATGACAGAATGGTAAAGTTAGTTTACAAGTACAGAAAAGAATGAACATTACAAATAAAAAAGGTTCTTAATAAAAATCATTACAAGATACTGGATTAATAAGTTCTTACTAGAAACACGAGAAAAAAATTACAAGATAACGAATTTAATTTAATACATTCAATAATTATTTAAAAGCATTACAGTCTGATTAAAATGAAACCTCACTTGCTCCCATGTGCATCAATAAACAAGAGCAAGTGAGAGGTATGATTTAAGTCAGATAGAAAAAATACTGTAAATTCAGAAATTATTGGTTTAAATATTATTACAATTTTTGAAGAATAGACGAAATGGGAGATATGCGATTGTGATCTCGGGAAACTATGTATACAGAAATATTTGATACAGAAATATTTATCTAATATTTAAATGCGAGACAGACTATTCGAATTAATGAAAACCTTGCAAAAATTTCTGAATTTACTCTAGTTATGGTTAGTACTGCTCATCACCAAATATTGAACACAAGATTACTTCACAAGTTTGTGATATTCTGAAATGAATATAGAGGGCTTATTGTCAGAGAAATATCCTTGATTGTACTTGATTTTCATATGATGAAGACATAATCTTTCAATCAGTTTAATTCAGGTCTGGATCTGGCATGTCAGTAACTGCTAGTAGTCCTTTGTTCATTTATGTATCATTGTCATTTTGCTTAGTTTCTTTTGTTACCTATTCTGACATCGGACTCAGACTTCTTTTGAGCTGAGTTTTACTGTGCGTATTGCTATGTGTTTCTTTATTCTACATTGGCTAGAGGTATAGGGGGAGAGTTGAGATCTCACAAAACATGTTCAACCCTGCCGCATTTTTGCGCCTGTCCCAAGTCAGGAGCCTCTGGCCTATGTTAGTCTTGTATGTTTTTTTAATTTTAGTTCATTTATATGTTTTGGAGTCTAGTGTGACATCCATTTTCACTGAACTAGTACACACTTTTATTAGGGGCCAGCTGTAGACCACCTCCGGGTGCGGGATTTTCTCGCTGCGTTGAAGACCCATTGGTGGCCTTGTCTGCTCTTTGGTCGGGTTGTTGTCTCTTTGACATATTCCCCATTTCTATTCTCAATTTTATTTCTTAGTACACGAGTTAATTCCTATAAACGAAAAAATAGAAACACCACAGCTCTACTGATTAAACACAGAACTTGCTGATAATGAGGATGATATTTTTTTTTTGAACAAGTGCAATGTGAATGAATTGTAACAAAGAATTGGATATTTGCTTTGAGATTCTGAACTGATAGCAATTGGTTTTCTCTAAAAATGGTCATTATAGGTCCTTGTTGCAATATTCTACTACAAAAATGTTTTCTACAATTCTGGAGAACAGTCTCTTAATGACAATGTCCATCAGAGTTTGAATAGCAATCTCCTACTGAAAATGCCCATTACAGCTTTAAAAAGCAAATATTTCAGGAAATGTCCATGACAGCGTTGAAGGCTATTTTTCCCAGAACATGTCCATTACTGCTTTTGAAAGCCATTTGTTCCAGAAAATGTCCATCATAGCTCCTGATAACAATTTCCTATAGAAAATGTGCATTACAGCTTTGAATAGCAATCTCCTGCTTAAAATGCCCATCTCCTCCTGAAAATCTTCATTATGGATAGCAATCTCCTTGTGATAATGTCTATTATAGTTCCAGATAACAATCTACTCAAAAAAATATCTTTTATAGCTCGAGATAATAATTTACTCTGCCAAATGTCCATTAAGGCTTTGGGTAGCAATGTACTACTGATAATGCCCCCCAAAAAGCCACAGATAATAATCTACTCAAGAAAATTCCGTAACATCACTGGATAGCAATCTTCTTAAAATGTCCTTGACAGCTCTGGATATCATCCTCCTAAAGATGTTCATTGCAGCTTAAAGAAAAATAAAGGCAACAGTAGTATACCGCTGTACAATAGTCATAATTCGATTAAGCAAAAACAAATCCGTGTAACAAACTAAAACCGAGGGAAACACATTAACTATAAGAGGAAAACAACGGAACAACAGAAACTGAACTACAATAAAAGCAAACAGCAACATACATAGAAACGGACTGTCTGATAACAACTGCCATATTCCTATATATATATATATTATACAAAAAGAGAAAGGATACAAATTACTGTGATAAATATAAAAAGCTCAAATCACAAGTACAAAAAGAACAAAGAGTGGCATACTGGAACTACATAGAGAAATTGATATGTTACTTACCCATTAACGAACCAGACACTCCACCACTCAATCATGCAACACCTTAGAAACTCTTCCAGTATATTAAATTAATCGGCGCAGACAAATCAAGAATAAGCTGCAGAGTCTAAAAAAGGATGGCATTACAGATACTGCTGAAAAAGCTAACATCCTTAATGAAGTTTAAGTAAGTCTTTACTTCAGAAACTAATGGTCCTAAGCCCTCATCCAAATAAAACAGGATTATAAATTTCAACTCCTTGCATAATAAAACTTTTTAACAACATCAACCCTCATAAAGCCACGGCCCAGACAACATCAGTGACCATATCTTAAAAGAATTGCAAGAACATATAGCACCAATTCTCACAATCATATTTAATAAATCACTTGACACTTCGGAGAGACTTCACAGGACTGCTTATTTTGCGCCAAACATAAACCTGTCAACTACAGGCAAATTTCATTGACTTGCATCTGTTGGGCCAAAAATAGAATTCAAATTGTTTGATGTTGACTACCTACCTACCTAAAACGTAGCGTACCCGAAAAAATGTATGACACAAATCATTTCAAATTTTTCTTTTTTAGATTTTTTCCTGCTTTAACGTCGTTTTCTTGTCTAAAACATGTAACTTATGTTGTTGCCAAAAAAAAAATCCTTACCTACCTACCTACCTACCTACCTACTTACCTACCCAACCCTACAAGGCATGGGTAGGCAACATCAAACAAAGCATTTTTTAAGAGTGGCCTTGCAATTAAGTTAATGGAACATATTGTCACAAAACACATCATTAATCATCTTGAGGAAAATAGCATCCTGTACGATCTCCAACATAGCTTTATACATTCTAGATCATGCGAAACACAATAACTATCTTTACTATCAGCTGCAAACACCAACACTCAAGGCCTTATTATGACATATGTCGTCCGCCATTTGATTTCTGAACAAATCCTTTATATTTTTTTTTTCAAATTTGGTTGATTGGTTGTTGTTTGTTTAACTTTCAGAGCAAATATTTCATGCGTCATTGACGACAATTCACCCTGTTTGTAGGGTCACCGCATTAGAAATAAAGATGTGTTATTTGGGAAATTATGTTAGAATAGATTCAAAAGCTTTACAATCATTTTCTGGAGTAAATTTGGTATCCACTTGTTATAATTAAAGTATTTATAGTTTATCATTGTCATGCTCGGTGGAGAGGACTTACTATATCGCGAATGGTTCCTCAAATTATTTTAAATTTATTTTTGAAAATCTAAAGTATCAAAAGTTTAAAAACTGTAAAACTGAAAAAATACAGATCTAAATGTGTGTAATTTATAACAAGTCATCTGTACTATTATTTGTCTGTTTGTCTTTTTATTTTTGGCCATGGCGTTGTCAGTTTGTTTTCGATCTATGAGTTTGACTGTCCCTCTGGTATCTTTCGTCCCTCTTTTATAGTATCATGAGTATATCACATTACTAAACAAGTAATTTAACTTAAAATATGATATATTAAAAAAACCTATTTATATATTGTTTATATTGTAATGCATAGTTTGTAGATACTAATTAGTAGATTAAAGTTTCAATTTTTTACACAAAAATTTAGTTCTCTTGATATGCAAAGGCACAAATCCAGTATAATGGTTTACTTTTATAAATTTTGACTTGGATGGAGAGTTGTCTCATTGGCACTCATACCACATCTTCTTATATCTATTTGCTTATTATTTCTACAGCAAACAAATGGGATATCGGTATATGCGAATAATGGTGTTACAATCGACTATCAGCTTCATTAGGTCCTCTTCAGATTTAATGGCATGCATGTAATTGCTCTGGTAGACCGTTATTACCTGTTCGGTTCATTTCTCACATTACATAGTCTTTTGCAGGTAACAAGGATATGTTTGTCATCTTTATGGCCTTCCATACATAATTTGCATTCCACCGGTTGTTTTATCGAAACAGAAGGTCGACCACACTTTGGTTTTTATAAGTCCTTGTGAGTACTCTAGATTTAAATGTTCATTGACTTACTGATAAACGATCTCTTTTGTTGTCTCTGACACTGCTACAACAAATATTTGGTTTCCAAAAAATCCAGTTGTTTATATCTGACATATCTTTATATTGAACTGTAGATTTTATTAGTTTCCACATTTTTTACATAAGGAAATGCCTGTACCAAGTCAGGAATATGAAAGTTGTTTTCCATTCGTTAGATGTGTTTGAGCTTTTGATTTTGCCATTTGACTTTCCGTTATGAATTTTCCTGGTAGTTCGGTATTTTTGTTATTTTACTTTTTCCGCTATACCTGTCCCCTTTTTTCCGGTTATTTTGACCACACCATGAGTTATTTTTCCCCAATTTTTCTTGGGATTAAGTATGATTTCATGTGCTGATGGCACTGTATTCGTAGGACCTCAGAATGTTTTTAACCTTTTTGTACAAACTATTGGATTTATCACTTTTTGTTGTGTGTTGTCTTATTCCTATCTTATGTTCGATTGAGTTTACATCTTTTGATATTGAAATAGCTGTTTTGTGATTAAGTTGTTAAAGGGAATCTGCTCCAAGTACGATGACGTCCCACACATCAATTTTATGTTGTAATTCGGACCCATTGACATATTAATATATACCTTTGTATAGGAAGAGACCCTCTCGGTGATGTGGGTGTAGATAATAATTCTATTCAAGTTGTGTTGCTTAATATATGACATATAACGGAATAAGATGATTCGTCTTTCAGCCAATGAAAAATCGATATTAAAAGGGCATTAGCTACGAATTCGACAAAAAAAAATTGAAATAAGCGTTTTGTTTTGTTTCAATCATTTATAAAAGCGAATAAAGAAATAATATTTCGCTATTACCAATCAGTTTGGTTCAATTTCGTTAAATAAGATAAAAAACACCATTTGTGTATTTTTGACTTGCAAGTCAATAGTTCAACTCATTTGAATCTGTATTCATACACTTTTAGTTTGACCTTACAATAAAGGAGATGGGTCCATGTCTGCACCTTGTGCCTCATTCATTAAAAAGAAAAGAATGTCAAAATTGAAAAGTGAAACAAGGGAGCCACCAGGAATAACCATTTCATTGACTTGTCCGGTCCGCAAAATTCAACCTTATATAGGTAAAAATATAATAAACATAGTTTAACCCATAACATTAAATCAAACAGACCTACAGTGATTTTTTACAAAGTAGGATTTATCCCTCCCTAAGACAAGATACTATAATGTATCTACGTTGGCTATTTTTTTTTTGTGAAACAAAGCAGGACCAACTCTTTCAATTTGTCTTTTAGTTTGGAATGGGGAATACTTGTGTGAAGTGTAGAGAGTCAAATGTTTTAATACTATTGCAAGATGAAAGAGTCTTAGATTTATGTACTCTAAAAGATCTTTGGAATTTTTCAGTATCCACATCTGATTCACGCCACCTCTAGAAAAGGTAGTTTCTCAATTACTTTGAAGCCCGGCTTTGATTGCTGATAAACTTGATCATGTTAATAATTTAGAAAGAATTTTATTTGTTAACGTCCATTGTCTTCTACTTTAACAAAATTATGCCGTTGGCTTTAAGTAGTACCATATATTTTTCTTAGGTTATCTCCCATTAATTACACGCCATCTTTTTGGTACGTTTCTTCAGAATTGGAATTTAAAACATAAAGCACGTCAATGTTTTATGATTCATAAAGTATTTTAAATATGGACGACACTAAAGAAGAAGGAGAACTCTCAGATGATGATGAAGTCGATACCCACCCTCTGAACAATACCGAAAACACGAAGTCTTACAGAAGTCCGTATGATGACCAGGCAAAATTTCACCAACAACCAGAAAATTATAGACATCCAGTGCGCGATAACTGGTCCACAAATATGCCTCGTTCAATTCACACAAATCCCCATTCACGATCTCATTATTATAATGATTACACGACTCGCGGTGCAGCCCCTCCCCGACCACTTCGGTATGACAGAATAAGAATAAGCCCACAGGAGCATCCAGTTCATATGCCAGTCAGAGACAGAAGAGATTTCAGGCATTACGGAGAAAGAATTAAGAAGTCCTCTGTACAGAATGAAACCACTATTGAAAATCAAAATCAAAATAACGATTCTCAACGTCGATGTGCACCAAATACATCTCCTGGATGTATCCTTTTGAAATATATAATTTCTTAACTTATTTAATTTAGGCAATTTAGATTCCAATCTAATATCCCAAAAAACTCATTCACTGTTAGAATTGCTAAAACCTAGAACAAACTACCAGATAAAATCACTAAGGCCCCATCCATAAATGCCTTTATAAACCGACTAGACAAATATTGGTCTGACGAAGAGCTCTATTATAATGACTATAGAGCAGAAATATCTGGAAGTCACGAACAAAATAGTGATAGAAAAAATTTAAATTATGAGTCTGGTGAAGAGGAGCCTTAGGGATCCTGTACTGGAAATCAAGTATAAGTAACTATAAGTAATAACTTTTTTGTTATTGTTACGTTTTCAACGTAATCGTAGCCAGTGCCTTAAATTTTGCACAAACAAAACTGTACAAATTTGATAGGTAATTAAGACCTGGTTTTAAATCATTAACATGCTTTAGGATTACAAAAAATTAAGGAGCTGCATGGGTTTAGATTTGGATATACAAATATGTTTACAATCAGCTGACTATCTTGCATGTCTTACTATTATTGGCACTGACCCTGCAAAGTAACACTCTATTTTAGATTTTAATCATTCAAAACATGTTCAAAGCCCTCTGGAAATGCTCTAGAACATGTAGAACACAGGGTTTAGCTTAATTTATTTTTAAAATTTTCCGGTGGGGTGGGGGGGCATGTCCCCAGACCCTCCTAATCCTTTTCAGCAATTGGAGGGCTAGTAGATTGATAAATAAATAGCCCTACAGGCTAGTAAAGGAATTTAGTTAAGTGTCAAACCCTGCAAAGGTGTCATTTTGTTCCACAAACATGACAAAAATGAAAGAAAAAAGAACTACTGAATGTCACTTTATACATTTGTATGTATTTTGATTTCAAGTTATAATCAATATGAAATTTTATGGCATGTAGTACTGTAGAATCCAGGAAAAGGCAGTTATGGTCATTTGACCTTACATGTGTAATCTGACAAAAAAATCTGACCATGGTACATGTAACAAACATGACAAAGCTTATTTTCTTTTAAGCTGAGAGAGATAATAGTTATCATGATATCCCACTCATATTTTTTTTTTTGTGTTCCTTATTTTAAGTTTCAGAATTAAATTCAATAAAATATCTTAAATTTTTTTATTTGATAACATAAACAGAAGCTGTGTCAACCTTTTAGATAAATGATGACATAAAAATAAGGAGATGTAAGGATATGGTATAATTGTCAAATAGTCTAGACAATACAACTATAAAATGTTTCCATTCATGTTTATAAAGACCAAGGGACAAAGATGTGATAATACCATATATATACATGTAGCATACATGTATATTTATTGGGAGGGTGTATAAACTGTATACATGGTACATGTTATTGCTTACATTTTAACCTTAACACTATAAACAGTTTGGGAGAAAAGGAAATTAAGAAATGCCAAAATAGATAAAAATAGTAAAGAATATAAAGAAACAGTAGAAAAATATAAATCAGAACTTAAAGGTGTTGAAGACAGGATAAAAATGCTAGAATACAAAGACAAGACAAATCAAGAGAAACAAGGGTCGCTAAAAACTACAGAAATGGAGAATAAAGGAGAGAATGAAAATGCAGACAAAAATATTAGTAGTGAGAACTTGACTGAGGCAACTGAAGTGGAAGGTGAAACTGAAAATCCAAATTTGCTTGAATCAGTTAAAGTTAGAATTGATGAAAGTATAGAAATATTGAACATATCAGAGGAAAAAGTTGAACCAGACGCTGACAGTGAGGAAAACACAGAAGAGGATAAAGATGTTATGATCATCGAACCTCCACCACCAGAGGTCATTGTGTTAGATGATGATGTCACTGAAGATCAAGGTCAAGATAATGTCACTGAAGGTCATTGTCAAGATAATGTCACAGAAGTTCAAGGCCAATATGATGTCTCTGAAGGACAGGATCATGATGCTGTAGAAGAACAGGTTGCAGAAGATGCAGACTCTGAGCAAAAAGTTTTGGCAGATGATGAGATCCAAACAGAGGTTTGTATTGCCTATAAATAAGACCAATACATAAAGATAAAAAAAAAACCATCAGAAAAATAATTGAACATTTTAATTATTTTATATTAAGATTATTAATATAAAATTTCCTTTTATCAACATGACCTCTAATTTCAGTGATCATATATACATGTGCATGAGCAACACGATGGGTGCCACATGTAGAGCATGATCTGCTTGCCCTTTCGGAGCACCTGAGATCACCCCCAGTTTTCGATGGGGTTTCGTGTTGCTCAGTCTTTGGTTTTCTATGTTGTTTTGTGTGCAGTTGTTCGTCTTTTTCTTTTTTGTCCTTTGCGTTGTCGGTTTATTTTTTGACTTGTGGGTTTGAATGTCTTTTTGGTATCCTTCGTCTCTTTTTCTAGAATAACCCTTATTGTATTCAGCTTTATAGAATAGTTAAAATCACCTGAGGTGAAGCACACAATGTCATGAATGTTAGTACAATTGCATAATTTTTTACAGATTCTTTTTTAAAGTTCAATGCAGTGTTTTTTACTTATGCATTAGTGTATGATTCAATGAGATATAATATGTTATTTTTAGGATGAAGAAGATTTAGACGAGTTAGAGTTGAGGAGAATAGCTTTGGCATCATCACTATCACAGACAGAAAAGTTACAGGTTCAAAATGAAGAGGTGAAAAGAAAAAAATCTTTATCAAAATCACCTAAGAAAAGACCAGAAAATAGTATGTTGACTATGGCTAGTATTATAAATTTAGATTTTTATTTGCATATTTTTTGTGGAAAAGATATGAAATTGTTACTGTAAATTCAGAAATTAATGCATGTATAAATTATTCTGCACATCCTTTACCCCTGGCAAAAATGGGAAATCTAATTAATGCGATAGCAAAAATTTTATGATGGAAAATCACTACTAAAATTATGAATGCAAGTTTTTTTAATGCAAACTTGATACTGTCATATTTTTCGCATTAATAAAAACATCACAATATTTTCTGAATTTACATGTACAGTAATCATTAATATCATAAATTAATATAGACTTATTGGATTTGCATTGTAGTCTTAGTACAAATGTATACTGTAAAGTTTGATTTTAGTGTGTTGTTTATTTTCATAAATTTTACACTTATGTATGATAGAATCACGAAGATATCCCATTATAGTCCGTTTGACTTCTATAAATCTTCAGAAAATAATTCTTAAAAATTCATTTTTACAAATAAACATAGAGTGAGAGACCCATATTCGCCGCATAATTTGTTCATTTCCACTTGCATCTGACCTACATTCGAATATTTGGAACTTTTTAGGAAGGTTTCAGAAATTTAACTATATGAAAAAAAAGTTTGATAAAGAAATTATCTTCAAAACATTGGTTAATTGTTCAAAAAAGGAATGCAAACTCAAGAGGAAATCAAGTTGTTCGTGTACCATGGGGGACACATTTTCGCCGCAATGTATGATATGACCATCCTCATTATCCTGATATATTATAAAAACGAATGTTTGCAATTACATGAATTAGCTTGAGAGATCATTCCTATACGATTTTTCTCACAAATATTTACTTTAAGACTGCGCATGATTGCCATATAAATCTTACATAATTGCCAAAATCATTTAAAAACACCTGCGTATTTCTCAATATGTGCGAATAACCTTGGAAATGGGGTAAAGAGGAATATCAACAGTTGTAACATTACAAACAGCCTTTGCCATCTATTTAGGCAAGTATTGGGTAAAGGCACAAACATTTTACAGAAAAAATAGCAAAACGGCGAAAATGTGTCTAAGGCGAATATGCGCCACCCACTCTATATGTTAATGTATGATATATATGAACTCTGACTATGAATATAATAATTTTGGGCCATTAATCAAAAAAGTTACCCATTAGGTCTCTATGTTACTTCTATTTTTTTTTATATAAAATACTTGATGAAGTAAGTATGAATAGTGTAACAGCCTTCCATCCAAAACAAAAACATTAGACATGTGCTTTGAATGATTGTTTCATTGTACCATGTGACTTAACTCATTTAAATATCAAATGATACTATACATGTCATGAAAAATGACCACCATATAAGTTTTTTTTTTATAACTGGTTTAACAGGTTTAAAGCACATGTCTAATGTTTTTGTTTTGAATTGAAGGCTGTTACACTATTCATACTTACTCCATCAAGTATTTTATATAAAAAAAATAGAAGTAGCATAGAGACCTAATGGGTAACTTTTTATACGACCGCAAAAAAATTTTTGTGGTCGTATATTGGTATGACGTTGGCGTCGTCGTCGTCCGAAGACACATTTGTTTTCGCACTCTAACTTTAGTTTAAGTGAATGGATCTTTATGAAATTTTACCACAAGGTTCAATACCACAAAAGGAAGGTTGGGATTGATTTTGGGGGTTATGGTAATAACAGTAAAGGAATTAGGGGCCAAAAATAAGCATTTTTGTAACTTCCAGACATAACTTGTGTGTTAGTGTATGGATCTCTCTGACATTGTACCACAAGGTTCCATATCACTAAAGGAATGCTGGGATTGATTTTGGGGGTAATTGCCTCCAAATTTTAGGAATTAGGGGCCAAAAAAGGGGAAAAAAACAAGCATTTTTCTAGTTTCATGACAATAACTTGTGTGTAAGTGTATGGATCTTTCTGAAATTGTACTACAAGGTTCCATATCACAAAGGGAAAGCTGGGTTTGAGTTTGGGGGTAATTGCCCTAAACGTTTAGGAATTTGGGGCCAAAAAGGGGCCAAAAAACACATTTTTTTCTAGTTTCCAGACAATAACTTGTGTTCAAGTGTATGGATCTCTCTGAAATTGTACTGCAAGGTACCATACCACAAAGGGAAGGCTGGGATTGAGTTTGGGGGTAATGAATCATAATGGGGGTTCAAAAAATTTTGGGGGGGGATTTATTTTTTTTTCCTTTTTTTTCTTTTTTTCCTTTTTTGTTTCTTTTAAAATTTTCCATTTTAAGTTGGTTATTTCTGATTTATATTTAAAATCAAATAATAATGATATGGTAGGAGATACACACCAAACAGGATGTGTAAATTATTATATAATAAGTATTGTGCAATAGCAAGAAATTTTCAATTGCACAGTATTGCACAATAGCAAGAAATCTTCAATTGCACAGTATTGCGCAATAGCAAGAAATCTTCAATTGCACAGTATTGCGCAATAGCAAGAAATATCCAATAGCACAATATTGCGCAATAGCAAGAAATTGTCAATTGTACAGTATTGCGCAATAGCAAGAAATATTTAATAGCACAGGATTGTGCAAAAGAAGATACTTCCTATAAATTGCTTATTTCTTGACCAATATCAATGGGGTTTTATTCTTGATTTCATGGGGTTCTTTAATATGCTGAATCTAACCGTGTATTTAGTTTTTGGATTTTGGGCCCTGTTTTTAAATTGGTCCACATTGAGGTCCAAAGGGTCCAAAATTAAACTTTGTTTGATTTCATCAAAAATTGAATTATTGGGGTTCTTTGATATGCCGAATCTAACTGTGTATTTAGATTCTTAAATTTTGGTTCCGTTTTCAAATTGGTCTACATTAAGGTCCAAAGGGTCCAAAATTAAACTTAGGGTTAAAATTGAATTCTTAGGGTTCTTTGATATGCTGAATCTAAACATGTATTTAGATTTTTGATTATGGGCCCAGTTTTCAAGTTGGTCCAAATCGGGGTCCAAAATTAAACTTTGTTTGATTTCAACAAAAATTGAATATATGGGGTTCTTTGATATGCTAAATCTAACCATGTATTTAGATTTTTGATTTTTGGGCCCCGTTATCAACTTTGTCCACATTGAGGTCAAAAGGGTCCAAAATTAAACTTTGTTTGATTTCATCAAAAATTGAATTATTGGGGTTCTTTGATATGCCGAATCTAACCGTGTATTTAGATTCTTAATTTTTGGTTCCGTTTTCAAATTGGTCTACATTAAGGTCCAAAGGGTCCAAAATTAAACTTAGTTTGATTTTAACAAAAATTGAATTCTTAGGGTTCTTTGATATGCTGAATCTAAACATGTATTTAGATTTTTGATTATGGGCCCAGTTTTCAAGTTGGTCCAAATCGGGGTCCAAAATTAAACTTTGTTTGATTTCAACAAAAATTGAATATATGGGGTTCTTTGATATGCTGAATCTAACCATGTATTTAGATTTTTGATTTTTGGGCCCCGTTATCAACTTTGTCCACATTGAGGTCAAAAGGGTCCAAAATTAAACTTTGTTTGATTTCATCAAAAATTGAATTCTTGGGGTTCTTTGATATGCTGAATCTAACCATGTATTTAGATTTTGGATATTGGACCATAATAGGTGAATGTCCAATTTAAAATTTTTAAGTTCTTAGACCACATTCAATCTGTGTTAGAAACCTATGCTGTGTCAAATATTTAATCACAATCCAAATCCAAAGCTGTATCAAGCTTGAATGTTGTGTCCATACTTCCCCCAACTGTTCAGGGTTCGACCTCTGCGGTCGTATCAAGCTGCGCCCTGCGGAGCATTTTATTTTATTATTGGCCCAAAATTATGATATTTATAGTCAGAGTTCGTATATATCATACATTAACATACATCAAGAAAAAAAATGTTTATTTGTAAATATGAATTTTTAAGAATTATTTTCTGAAGATTTATAGAAATCAAATAGACTATACATAAAATTTGTCTTTAACAAAGTGATTGTGATAGCAGTGCACATATGCATCAACATTATCAGCTGCATAGATTATTCAATGTTCTAGACTCTTTGAAATTTTAACCTTTTGCTAACTTTACATCATTTTGTCTCTGGAGGAAAGTTGTCTCATTGGCAATAATTCCACATCTTAATTATATTTTAATATATTCGAATGAGATTTGTGGGTAAAAATAGATATCTCTGATGTTTTTTTTAGTTGCTGTCTCATTTTCACTTTTGTATACCCATCTTCTTTTTTCAAGTCAATTGTTGTACATGGATTATTTATAAATAGGAAGAGATGCTACACAGAGACCTGCAAGATCACGATATCAGTCACGGAGAGTCGTTAATCAAATATCACGTAGGCGCTCTAATGAGAGACGAAAGAAAAAAGAAAATGAAGAAGTTGATAGAAGAAGATATGGTGACGAGAGAAGAGACCATCAGAGACGAGATCGTGAAATCCAAAAAATTCTTACAATAGACGATCCTAAGGAACAAGTTCGACGTTTCTTGTTGATGTTAGGTGATCAGAAAGCGTTAGATAGTATTGACTTGGCTGGATACAGAAGGGTAAGTACTGGATTACCACTTTGGAGAGCCCATGAGGTCTGGACTCATGAAAATCTGTCTGGATTCTATATTTCTAAAAATCTGACAAGTCCAAAGATGCACCATGATTGTAAAATGTTGTATCCACTTAGCCCTGATGTTCTTTTTTTATGGAAGGGTCTAAAAATTGATCTAAATTTGATATCATTTCCTTGCTCTCTTTTGTTGTAGAAACTTGAATAATGAATAATTCAGCAATTCTTTATCTCACTGTTGGACTCGCCATGGCCAAAAATGTTTTAAAGAAGTATGGGGTTATATGATAGAATTTATAAATATACCAGTCCTTATGACATTGTTCTAGTTAGAATTAAAGGGGCACAGTTTTAAGACGAAGGGCACAAATTAGTGTGGTTTTTTGTCTGAAAAACGTGATCAAGTTTATGGATTTAAAGTAATAATTTAGAATAGTGTACTTTTGTTGTAAAACAGCTTTTTCAAGGAAATGAAATGATTTTTTTGCCCTTCTGAAAACAGAAATACATAGGGAGGTGTGCTGTGTTTCTATTTTCTTTAACCTAGTTCAGATATAAAAATAAGGATATGTGGTGTGATTGCCAATGAGACAACTATCCACCAAAGTTCAAATAAAGTGGACGTAAGCAATTATAGGCAACTGTACGGTCTTCAATAATGAGAAAAACCCATACTGTATAGTTGGCTATAAAAGGCCCCACATGAAAAATATGAAACAATTAAAAAAATTGAGAAAACTAACAGCCTAATTTGTAACAAAATAATTAATGAAAACAAATATGACACCTATGAACCAACGACAACCATTGAACTACAGGCTCCTGACTTGGGACAGGCACATAAAGAATGTAGCAGGTTAGACATGTTTGTGAGCGTTCAACCCTCCCCTAACCTGGGACAGTGGTGTAACAGCACAACATAAGAACAAACTATAAAAATCAGTTGAAAAAGGCTGAACTCATCAGATCGATACAAAGCAGAAAAACATCAAACATAAACATGATTGGACATGGCAGGGTATTTGTCCATCCCTCATCCCTAACAACAAAAAGGACACCAAGTACAGATCTGAGAGTACTTGCAGTTACTGACAGCTAGTTCAAAGCCAATAACAACTAATAAAAAAAATCATGTGTCTAAGACTAAAATATCAATCAGTACACATGGAACATCCACTGGATTTAGTGTAAAGACGTCATTAACAGTCAGAGAAAAACATGACCTTGTGCAATGGCAAGATACAGGTATAGACAAATTGTAGAGCCATGAATGTGCATATGTATATAAAAATAATATTTAGTTTGATTTTAATTTACTGATAACAAAATCAATATTAATACCAATAAAACAATATTCAAAGATCTAATTAAAGTGTTGAATTGGTAACCGTTTAGAATAAGTCTATTTAAAGGATTGATAAGTTTACCTGGTTCGTATCTAAATTTCCGGGCTCGGTAAACAACATCTAGTCTGTTTCTATAATATAAATTCTTAAACAGTGACATTTTTCTATGAATGAGGGTTGATCATGTGTTGATATTTAAAATATGTTTTCTCTTTGCCTTTTAATTGTATGAAATTCCACAATATTTTTCTTCAATTTCTTCAAAGGAGTCCACTAAGAGAAAAAGAGTTGATAGCAATGAAGGACAGGTTGTACCTCCAGTGTTACAGGATAATTATGAACCAGTAGAAATGGATATAGACAGTAACCCAGGCTCTCCATTAGATATTGGACAAGGAATGGAAGATTTGCAAGTGGACCAAGAATTCTTTAATTTTCCACAGCAGTCTCTAATGGTACCGGTATGTACTCACTTTAAAAAGATAAAATATTAAGTAAGAAAGTTTTATCTGTCAAGGTCTTATCTTTCTTCAATGATTAAGAGAGTATTGTAACCTCCATTAAAAAGTCATCAATCTGACCTATTTTTTTTGCTTCATTGATCATATTGAGGAACATCCAAGTTCATTTCACTGTAGTTTAACTTCACTTTGATAAATTTTTATTATAACATGGCCTGGGCCGTTATGTTCAAATTTTATCTCATGCCTTAGCGAGGGATAAAATTAAACAATATAACGACCCAGGCCATGTGAAAATGGTAATTTGAAAAACTGAAGCGAAGGTAAGATTGACGTGTGTATGGCTGTTCAATTTTACCCCCTGTAAGATAAAAGCTACAAATATCAAATCAATCTAAGGCTTGCATGAATTATTTCTTAAATAACCACTCGAAAAAATGTGTTCAATCCTTATAATATGTAACCCCAAATTTTTTTTTGTTAGCTACTATTTACTGTCAAATCCACAGTTGACATGTCATAACTAAGGAATGAGCAGCCATGTTGACTTGCTGAAATCCATGAATGTGCGAATGATGCAATAGAATAGAAAATGAAACAACACCTACCTCAAAACTTCATTTTATTGCGATTTTATACGAATTTAGAGCTGAATAATCATCAGCTTGAGAGTTTTCATTCGCATGACATAAATGCGGCAAGATAATTCATGAAAAATCGCAGAATTTTATTTTATTTTGATTTTATACATTTTTAAGATCTTATGCATTAATTCTTTTTGTTAAGCATTAGAGTAGGAATAACGGTTGTGTAGTTTCTTTTTCAATTTCAATTTGAACACAACGAAATCAACATAGTGTTTGTACATAGGTTACAATACATGTGGATTTACTTGGGAGGTAAATAGTAACAGCAATTTATAATATGTGCATCTCTGAGTCTGTGCTAAGTATGGATATATCTGGAATTTTATCACCCTGTTGTTTACAAAGCAAAAGAAGCATGTCATATTAGAATAATTCTTATCAAACAGTTTAATGGCAGGTTTAATGCCCCCCATTTATATAGTGTTATTTTCATTGTAAATGTAGAAACATTGTAGAAACTAGTTTGTAATTTACAGATAAAAATGGCTTGAATACAGAAACATAACAATAAACTGTTAATACCCCAAGCCTTAATAATCATGCAATCTTTAAAAATCTACAACCTGCTTATTAAGGACATCTGTTTTTTCCTATCAATTTTTTTTTTTAGATCTGTTTGAAAAAATTACATCTGGTCAAATATAATAATCTGTATCCAAAAACTTTGTCAGCAACTGTAAGATTTTATACATTTTCAGAGTTATTATATACCAGATCCCTCCTTTCAAACATATGGATGGATGGACCACAATAGACAGATTCCGTTCCTGGAGACCGCTCCTGTGATGCCTATGGAACCCCAACCACCCCCACTGCCGCCACCTTTGCCATCAGACTGGCCACCACCACCGCCGCCACCAGAGGAACCTCCACCACTACCACCAGAAGAATTCCCACCACTGCCACCAGAGCCTCCACCAGGGTATCTACTACCTCCACCCCCACCACCTGGGCTTCCAATACCCCCACCCCCACCAGAAGAAGAAGATGAAGTGGCTGATGATGAGGAGGCACTATTAAGGGCCAAGCTGTTACAGTCCATGGCTAACAGGAAAATACAGATGGTTAGAGCAATGAATGAAGACGTAAGTGACAAAGTAGAACAAAATGTTTGGTGCCGCGTCCAGTTAATATTTCTACATTAACCTATTATACACTTGAAGCTTAAAGCCACATGTATGAAAGCTTAATAGGGATGAGTATATAGGGAGTTATACAAACAGAGAAATAAAAAACACAATTTTTTACTTTTTTTGGTAGAAATTTAGAAGTTTTGTTTAAATAATCTGAAGTTATTTTTCTTTTTTTAACTATGAGGAAATATTATCTTAGGTAAAAACATGTAATTTACAAGGAAAAAATAATGGCAAAAAACAAATAAAATGTATTGTGGCAAAATATCCAAACCAGTGATTTAATCTATTCTTCACAGTCATTAGGCACAATGTCAGGAAGGTCTTCCCCATCAACACCACATGCCCAATCACCAAACCCACGAGTCCAGTCACCAAGCCCACGGGTTCAGTCACCAGTACCAAGTGATGTTGTCAAACCAAGAACAGTTGAGATTACAAGGATAAAGGTCAGTTTTAAAAGTTAAAGAAGAAGAGAGAAAGAACTCATATTGATGTGTCTTTTTTCTGTTTTAAAGACTATCATGGGTAACTAGTAGGATATTACAGCATTGTAATTTCATTCACTTACATTCTTGTTAGATATTTTAAACAGCTTATTTAAATATGAGTTTTCCTTACTGAACTTTTTTAAATGCATGTATAATCAATATTAGAGTGATTATAAAACAATTTCTTATTTGATCTTTCTTATGTGTGTGTCTGTTTGATTATTTTGTAATTCTTTGTTTTTTATATTTCAATGTATTTCATGAGGGACTCAGGGAAAATTAGTTTTATGGCTAACTATGTAACCCTATTTAAATAAAGAATTATTATTATTATTATTGTTATATTAATCTAAATATCTGTGGCAATTTTCATAAAAAAATCTTCTGATAAAAGAAGAAATCCATATTAAGTTATGTAACATTTCAGTGTAATTATCAATCAATTTTTGAGAGAAGAACTTTTAAATTGTATAAATAGAAATTAGAATTAAGTATAATTATCCCTAGTTTATTTTAACAGGTACCAATACATAAACCAATCATAATAAATCCTAATGAAGATACCTCTAGTGAGGAGGAGGAAGAAGAGGAAGAAGAACAGGAGGTATTATAATGTACATTAATGTCTTGTCAGTTGGTGTTGATGAAAAAATGGAATCAGATATGGCATAAATATTTATATAAGGGGATATGGTATGATTACTAATGAGACAATTATCCACCCGATGATACCTAATGCATGGATGTGAGCAACTATAGGTCAACATACTGCCTTCAACAATGAGCAAAACCCATACTGATTAGTAAGCTGTAAAAGGCTCTGGAAAGACAAAACGTAGAACAATTCAAACTTTTGCCTGATTTATGATAAAAGCAGTAATCGAAAAAAATAAAAATGTGTTTGATTTCCATAAACTGGATAAAGAAAGGGAAGATACGATAGATCTCTAAAGTCATGTCACCTCTAAAGTCATGTCATATCTAAAGTCATGTCATCTCCAAGGTCATGTCATCTATAAAGTCATGTCATCTCTAAGGTCATTTCATCTCTTAAGTCAGTTAAGTTTATTCAGTGGTATTTCTTAAATTGGAGTAAGGACACTTAATACCAATATTGAAATAAGAAAATCAAATTAGAAAATCACATATCTGTATTAAATCAACTTTTTTTAATATAACATAGTGTTTCTGAGGCAGTTTGATGTCTTACTTTGATTGGATAATGGTTTTTTTTGTTTGTTTAAATTTGTTTATTTTTCTTTGAATATTGTTATATTTTCACTGTCATCTTTATTTTATTGTTAAAGTATTGTAGATCTACATGTAAAATTAACTGTTTTTGTTGTTGCAGTTTCTCAATTTTTAGATTTTTTATTACAATTATAATTGTTCAATTGCATGGTCTTCAAAGTAACTATGTTTCTGTCAGTTACCTTAAATGGATGATGATATTTGTATTATTTTTCAGGCCTATGAACCAGGACAAGACCCTTATGAAGCATCATTTGTAGCTCAAGGTCAGATGACAGGGGTCTCTCTAGTACAGCCTCAACGAAAACCACAATTTCAGGCCAGTGATTTTATTGGAGGTTTAGATTCATTTCTAAAGGAAGCAAGGAGAAATTCTGAGGTAGAAATTGATCTTGATTTTTGTGCCCCTGTCGTAGTGGCTGGAGCAGATAGTGTTACCCCAGTGTTTTCCATAGAATATTTTTTAAGGATAAGAGATTGAATGAAAAGATGATATATGGTGATCATAAACGGTGGCAGATTCAGGTGGTGTTGAGGGCCTACACCCCCTTTGATATCCCCCCCCCCCCCCCCCAAAAAAAAAAAGTATCATGTTTTTTGAGATGTATAAATTTTTAGTATAAAATCTTCTCAGAACATTTTTGCCTCACAGTATATATTCAATTATCCTGAATTATGTTCCCCCTTTGTAAAATCCTGATAAATTTGGGGTGGATTGGGGCTTATATAGAGTAATAAAGAATTTCAAATGTTAAAGGATGGGGGTATAAATTAATGCATGGGTGGCCCACCATGCACACAGACTCTAGGGAAAACACTGGTTTCCCCGTATCGATCCTTTGGTACAACAATTGTTCTGACCTTTTACATTATTCCTGTACCCTGTAGATCTTTCATTCTGCTGCCATTTATGTCATACCATCCCATTGAGCCCTTGAATAAATTCAGTAAATTAATGTTTTCACAGCAATTTGCTAAGTAAAGTACCCTATCCTAATTACTATGGACCTATTTTGCTTGTAAATTTCTCCTTTTATTTTAAAGATAATATTTTGATCATGTTTATATATTATATTTGTGTAATATATTACGTTTTGAATTACTATTAGCATGTTTCTGCAACTCTCATAGTTTTTACTGTAAATTCTGAAATTATTGCGAGGGTTTTAATAATGTGAATTATGCAACGAGATGAGTACATCACAATAATTAATCTCACATTTCTGTCCTTTCTTCAAAAATCGCAATAATTTCTGAATTTACAGTACTTTTTGGATAAACTTATTGTACTGTATTACAGCTTCAGGAGTTTAAGAGCCAAAATAATAGAATGCAGGTAGATCCAAAGACAGTAACCAGAGAAATTCAGAAAAAGATGAATCCCAAACCAGTTAGCAGAGAAATTCAGAAAAAGATAGACCCAAAACCAGGGGGCAAAGAAATTCAGAAAAAAGTTGATCCAAAAGCAACCAACAGAGAAATCAAGAAACTGAGTCCAAAACCAGATGGTAGAGACATACAATTTGTTGATCCTATGCAATCAGAGAAAACCATAATTAAACAGTTTGAAGATGATATTGTTAAACAGAGGTAGGAAAATATATTTGTAGTAGTTTTATCCAAGCTATTTTTTTTTTTTAAATACTGTAAACTAACTATTTTTGCTGATACTCTATTTCGCAATTAGCCCTTTGTAACTGACTTTGAAGCAATTTATTTTTTCGGAATTTTCTAATTTCCATGAAATATTTATAATAAGGAAATTTCAAGTTATATTTATTCAGGAAGATTTATATTCACGTTATTTTTATAGTAATAATAATAATCGTGAAATTAGTTGGTTTCCAGTATGTTGTGTTGGAAAATATTTGACAGTTGTTATATAAAGTTAGATAATAAATGCTTGTTTTCATGCAGCATGACCCCACTGATTCATGTTGACAAGGGAAACTTGGAATAAAGTGCATAGTGTTCTCATAGACATGTACACCATATCTATTTTTAATCATATTTCTGTTGCATGCTAGGAAAAGGAACTGAAGGAAAAAATCCCATCTAAACCTGATAAAAAAATAATATATGTCTGATATAAAATAGTTATTTTATAGCTCAAAAATGGTAAGAACTGCACTGTCCGTCCATCTGTACCGCTTCAGGTTAAAGTTTTTGGTCAAGGTAGTTTTTGATGAAGTTGAAATCCAATCAACTTGAAACTGAGTACACATGTTCCCTATGATATGATCTTTCTAATTTTAATGTCAAATTAGAGTTTTGACCCCAATTTCACGGTCCACTCAACATAGAAAATGATAGCGCCGTAGCGGAGGGGGCATTAAGTTTTACCCTTGTCCGTCTGTCTGTCCGTACATACGTCCGTCCGTACGTCCCAAAATTGGTTTCCGTTCTCTAACTTTAGATTGCCTCTACCAAATGTTATTGTCGAGCCTGCGACTTTTGTCGCAGAAAGCTCGACATAGGGATAGTGATCCGGCGGCGGCGACGGCTACGGCGGCGGCGGCGGCGTTAGCTAACTTCTTAAAAGCTTTATATTTTAGAAGGTGGAAGGTCTGGATGCTTCATACTTTGTATATGGATGCCTCATGTTACGAAGTTTCTGCAGTCACATGTCCAATGTCCTTGACCTCATTTTCATGGTTCAGTGACTACTTGAAAAAAAAGTTAAGATTTTTTGTAATGTTAGATTCTCTCTTATTATAAGTAATAGGATAACTATATTTGGTATGTGCGTACCTTGCAAGGTCCTCATGCCCGTCAGACAGTTTTCACTTGACCTCGACCTCATTTCATGGATCAGTGAACAAGGTTAAGTTTTGGTGGTCAAGTCCATATCTCAGATACTATAAGCAATAGGTCTAGTGTATTCGGTGTATGGAAGGACTGTAAGGTGTACATGTCCAACTGGCAGGTGTCATCCGACCTTGACCTCATTTTCATGGTTCAGTGGTTATAGTTAAGTTTTTGTGTTTTGGTCTGTTTTTCTTATACTGTATGCCATAGGTCTACTATATTTGGTGTATGGAATGATTGTAAGGTGTACATGTCTAGCGGGCAGGTGTCATCTGACCTTGACCTCATTTTCATGGTTCAGTGGTCAAAGTTAAGTTTTTGAGTTTTGGTCTTTTTTTCTAGTACTATATGCAATAGTTCAACTATATTTGGTATGTGCGTACCTTGCAAGGTCCTCATGCCCGTCAGACAGTTTTCACTTGACCTCGACCTCATTTCATGGATCAGTGAACAAGGTTAAGTTTTGGTGGTCAAGTCCATATCTCAGATACTATAAGCAATAGGTCTAGTATATTCGGTGTATGGAAGGACTGTAAGGTGTACATGTCCAACTGGCAGGTGTCATCTGACCTTGACCTCATTTTCATGGTTCAGTGGTTATAGTTAAGTTTTTGTGTTTTGGTTTGTTTTTCTTATACTGTATGCCATAGGTCTACTATATTTGGTGTATGGAATGATTGTAAGGTGTACATGTCTAGCGGGCAGGTGTCATCTGACCTTGACCTCATTTTCATGGTTCAGTGGTCAAAGTTAAGTTTTTTGAGTTTTGGTCCTTTTTTCTAATACTATATGCAATAGTTCAACTATATTTGGTGTATGGAAATATTTTATGATCTATTTGGCAGTCACACAGGTTTTATTTGACCTTGACCTCATTTTCAAGGTTCATTGCTCAGTGTTAAGTTTTTGTGTTTTGGTCTGTTTTTCTTAAACTATAAGCAATAGGTCAATTATATTTGTTGTATGGAAGAATTGGTAGCTGTACATGCCTGCCTAGCATGGTTCATCTGACCTTGACCTCATTTTCATGGTTCATTGGTCAATGTTTAGTTTACTTGGTTAATGTTAAGTTTATGTGACAGTTGTAATAAAGCTTTATATTTAGGACTATCAACATAATACCAATGATTAGTAAAGAAGGCGAGACATTTCAGCGTGTGCACTCTTGTGAAACTTATCCCCAATGCTTATTACCACAAAACACAGATTGAGTTTGAATGTTGGTGGCTTTACTTTTACTGTTCCAGAGTTATGCCTCTTTACAAATGGAAAAATTGCTGAATTTTTCATTCTGTTCTCCAACTTTAGTTTGCCTCAACCAAATGTTATGAAACATATCCACAATGCTTATTACCACAAAACACATATCAAGTTTGAATTTTGGTGGCGTCACTTTTACCGTTCTAGAGTTATGCCCCTTTACAAATGAAAAAATTGCTGTTTTTTAGCTCACCGGGCCCAAAGGGCCCTATGTCAGCTTATGCCATCACTTGGCGTCCGACGTCGTCAGTCGTCTGTCGTCGTAAACTATTTCAAAAATCTTCTCCTCTGAAACACCTGGGCCAAATACCTTCAAACTTTAACTAAATGTTCCTTAGGGTATCTTGTTTATAAATTGTATCCGAAGTTTTGATCCATCAAAAAACATGGCCGCCATGGCTAAAAATAGAACATAGGGGTCAAATGCAGTTTTTATACGACCGCAAAAATTAAAAATTTTTTGGTCGTATATTGGTATGACGTTGGCGTCGTCGTCGTCGTCGTCGTCCGGCGTCGTCTGGCGTCGTCCGAAGACACATTGGTTTTCGCACTCTAACTTTAGTTTAAGTGAATGGATCTCCATGAAATTTCACCATAAGGTTCAATACCACGAAAGGAAGGTTGGGATTGATTTTGGGGGTTATGGTACCAACAGTTAAGGAATTAGGGGCCAAAAAGGGGCCAAAAATAAGCATTTTTGTAATTTTCAGACAATAACTTGTGTGTAAGTGTATAGATCTCTCTGACATTGTACCACAAGGTTCCATATCACAAAGGGAAGGCTGTAATTGATTTTGGGGGTAATTGCCTCAAAATTTTAGGAATTAGGGGCCAAAAAAGGGGCAAAAAACAAGCATTTTTCTAGTTTCATGACAATAACTTGTGTGTAAGTGTTTGGATATTTCTGAAATTGTACTACAAGGTTCCATATCACAAAGGGAAAGCTTGAATTGAGTTTGGGGGTAATTGCCTGAAACGTTTAGGAATTGGGGGCCAAAAAGGGGCCAAAAATAAGCATTTTTCTAGTTTCCAGACAATAACTTGTGTTCAAGTGTATGGATCTCTCTGAAATTGTACTGCAAGGTACCATACCACAAAGGGAAGGCTGGGATTGAGTTTGGGGGTGATGAATCATAAGGGGGTTCAAAAAATTTGGAGGGGGGAGATTTTTTTTTTTTTTTTTTTTCTTTTTTTCCTTTTTTTTTTCTTTTAAAATTTTCCATTTTAAGTTGATTATTTCTGATTTATATTTAAAAGCAAATAATAATGATATGGTAGGAGATACACACCAAACAGGATGTGTAAATTATTATATAATAAGTATTGTGCAATAGCAAGAAATTTTCAATTGCACAGTATTGCACAATAGCAAGAAATCTTCAATTGCACAGTATTGCGCAATAGCAAGAAATCTTCAATTGCACAGTATTGCGCAATAGCAAGAAATATCCAATAGCACAATATTGCGCAATAGCAAGAAATTGTCAATTGTACAGTATTGCGCAATAGCAAGAAATATTCAATTGCACAGTGTTGTGCAAAAGAAGATACTTCGTATAAATTGCTTATTTCTTGATCAATTTCAATGGGGTTTTATTCTTGAATTCTTGGGGTTCTTTAATATGCTGAATCTAACCGTGTATTAAGTTTTTGGATTTTGGGCCCCGTTTTTAAATTGGTCCACATTGAGGTCCAAAGGGTCCAAAATTTAACTTTGTTTGATTTCATCAAAAATTGAATTATTGGGGTTCTTTGATATGCCGAATCTAACCGTGTATTTAGATTTTTAATTTGGGGTCCCGTTTTTTAAATTGGTCTACATTAAGGTCCAAAGGGTCCAAAATTAAACTTAATTTGATTTTAACAAAAATTGAATTCTTGGGGTTCTTTGATATGCTGAATCTAAACATGTGTTTAGATTTTTGATTATGGGCCCAGTTTTCAAGTTGGTCCAAGTTGGGGTCCAAAATTAAACTTTGTTTGATTTCAACAAAAATTGAATATATGGGGTTATTTGATATGCAAAATCTAAACATGTATTTAGATTTTAGATTTTTGGCCCAGTTTTCAAGTTGGTCCAAATTGGGGTCCAAAATTAAACTTTGTTTGATTTCAACAAAAATTGAATATATGGGGTTCTTTGATATGCTGAATCTTACCATGTATTTAGATTTTTTATTTGTGGGCCTGCTATCAAATTGGTTCATATTGAGGTCAAAAGGGTCCAAAATTAAACTTTGTTTGATTTCATAAAAAATTGAATTATTGGGGTTCTTTGATATGCCAAATCTAACTGTGTATTTAGATTTTTAATTTTGGGTCCTGTTTTTTAAATTGGTCTACATTAAGGTCCAAAGGGTCCAAAATTAAACTTAGTTTGATTTTAACAAAAATTGAATTTTTGGGGTTCTTTGATATGCTGAATCTAAACATGTGTTTAGATTTTTAATTATGGGACCAGTTTTCAAGTTGGTCCAAGTTGGGGTCCAAAATTAAACTTTGTTTGATTTCAACAAAAATTGAATATATGGGGTTCTTTGATATGCTGAATCTTACCATGTATTTAGATTTTTTATTTGTGGGCCCGCTATCAAATTGGTTCATATTGAGGTAAAAAGGGTCCAAAATTAAACTTTGTTTGATTTCATCAAAAATTGAATAATTGGGGTTCTTTGATATGCCAAATCTAACCGTGTTTTTAGATTTTTAATTTTGGGTCCCGTTTTTTAAATTTGTCTACATTAAGGTCCAAAGGGTCCAAAATTAAACTTAGTTTGATTTTAACAAAAATTGAATTCTTCGGGTACTTTGATATGCTGAATCTAAACATGTGTTTAGATTTTTGATTATGGGACCAGTTTTCAAGTTTGTCCAAGTTGGGGTCCAAAATTAAACTTTGTTTGATTTCAACAAAAATTGAATATATGGGGTTCTTTGATATGCTGAATCTAACCATGTATTTTGATTTTGGACATTGGACCATAATAGGTAAATTAAAAAAATTGAAGTTCTTAGACCACATTCTTTCTGTGTCAGAAACCTATGCTGTGTCAAATATTTAATCACAATCCAAATTCAGAGCTGTATCAAGCTTGAATGTTGTGTCCATACTTGCCCCAACTGTTCAGGGTTCGACCTCTGCGGTCGTATCAAGCTGCGCCCAGCGAAGCATTTTATTGGCTTATATTTCAAAAACTAAAGCTTTTAGAGCAAATCTGACACGGGGTAAAATTGTTCAATTGGTCAAGATCTATCAGCTCTGAAATTATCAGATGAATCGAACAACCCATTGTTGGGTTGCTGCCACCGAATTGGTAGTTTTAACAAAATTTTGCAGTTTTTTGTTATTATTTTGAATATTATTATAGATATATATAAACTGTAAGCAGCAATAATGTTCAGCAAAGTAAGATCTACAAAAAAGTTAATATGACCATAATTGTCAATTGACCCCTTAAGAAGTTATTGCTCTTTAAAGACAATTTTACACAATTTGTTCATCAAGTTTGCTAACATTTAAAAATCTTCTCCTCTGAAACTACTGGGCCAATTACCTTCAAACTTTAACTAAATGTTCCTTAGGGTATCTTGTTTATAAACTGTATCGGAAGTTTGTTTCCATTGACAAACATGGCCGCCATGGCTAAAAATAGAACATAAGGGTCAAATGCAGTTTTTATACGACCGCAAAAATTAAAAATTTTTTGGTCGTATATTGGTATGACGTTGGCGTCGTCGTCGTCCGGCGTCGTCGTCGTCGTCCGGCGTCGTCCGAAGACACATTGGTTTTCGCACTCTAACTTTAGTTTAAGTGAATGGATCTCCATGAAATTTTACCATAAGGTTCAATACCACGAAAGGAAGGTTGGGATTGATTTTGGGGGTTATGGTACCAACAGTTAAGGAATTAGGGGCCAAAAAGGGGCCAAAAATAAGCATTTTTGTAACTTCCAGACAATTACTTGTGTGTAAGTGTATGGATCTATCTGACATTGTACCACAAGGTTCCATATCACAAAGGAAAGGCTGTAATTGATTTTGGGGGTAATTGCCTCAAAATTTTAGGAATTAGGGGCCAAAAAAGGGGCAAAAAACAAGCATTTTTCTAGTTTCATGACAATAACTTGTGTGTAAGTGTTTGGATATTTCTGAAATTGTACTACAAGGTTCCATATCACAAAGGGAAAGCTGGAATTGAGTTTGGGGGTAATTGCCCGAAACGTTTAGGAATTGGGGGCCAAAAAGGGGCCAAAAATAAGCATTTTTCTAGTTTCCAGACAATAAGTTGTGTTCAAGTGTATGGATCTCTCTGAAATTGTACTGCAAGGTACCATACCACAAAGGGAAGGCTGGGATTGAGTTTGGGGGTGATGAATCATAAGGGGGTTCAAAAAATTTGGGGGGGGGATTTGTTTTTTTCTTTTTTTTTCTTTTTTTCCTTTTTTTTTTCTTTTAAAATTTTCCATTTTAAGTTGGTTATTTCTGATTAATATTTAAAAGCAAATAATAATGATATGGTAGGAGATACACACCAAACAGGATGTGTAAATTATTATCTAATAAGTATTGTGCAATAGCAAGAAATTTTCAATTGCACAGTATTGCACAATAGCAAGAAATCTTCAATTGCACAGTATTGCGCAATAGCAAGAAATCTTCAATTGCACAGTATTGCGCAATAGCAAGAAATATCCAATAGCACAATATTGCGCAATAGCAAGAAATTGTCAATTGTACAGTATTGCGCAATAGCAAGAAATATTCAATTGCACAGTATTGTGCAAAAGAAGATACTTCGTATAAATTGCTTATTTCTTGATCAATTTCAATGGGGTTTTATTCTTGAAATCTTGGGGTTCTTTAATATGCTGAATCTTACAGTGTATTAAGTTTTTGGATTTTGGGCCCCGTTTTTAAATTGGTCCACATTGAGGTCCAAAGGGTCCAAAATTTAACTTTGTTTGATTTCATCAAAAATTGAATTATTGGGGTTCTTTGATATGCTGAATCTAACCGTGTATTTAGATTCTTAATTTTTGGTTCCGTTTTCAAATTGGTCTACATTAAGGTCCAAAGGGTCCAAAATTAAACTTAGTTTGATTTTAACAAAAATTGAATTTTTAGGGTTCTTTGATATGCTGAATCTAAACATGTATTTAGATTTTTGATTATGGGCCCAGTTTTCAAGTTGGTCCAAATCGGGGTCCAAAATTAAACTTTGTTTGATTTCAACAAAAATTGAATATATGGGGTTCTTTGATATGCTGAATCTAACCATGTATTTAGATTTTTGATTTTTGGGCCCTGTTATCAACTTTGTCCACATTGAGGTCAAAAGGGTCCAAAATTTAACTTTGTTTGATTTCATCAAAAATTGAATTATTGGGGTTCTTTGATATGCCGAATCTAACCGTGTATTTAGATTCTTAATTTTTGGTTCCGTTTTCAAATTGGTCTACATTAAGGTCCAAAGGGTCCAAAATTAAACTTAGTTTGATTTTAACAAAAATTGAATTTTTAGGGTTCTTTGATATGCTGAATCTAAACATGTATTTAGATTTTTGATTATGGGCCCAGTTTTCAAGTTGGTCCAAATCGGGGTCCAAAATTAAACTTTGTTTGATTTCATCAAAAATTGAATTCTTGGGGTTCTTTGATATGCTGAATCTAACCATGTATTTAGATTTTGGATATTGGACCATAATAGGTGAATGTCCAATTTAAAATTTTTAAGTTCTTAGACCACATTCATTCTGTGTCAGAAACCTATGCTGTGTCAAATATTTAATTACAATCCAAATTCAGAGCTGTATCAAGCTTGAATGTTGTGTCCATACTTGCCCCAACTGTTCAGGGTTCGACCTCTGCGGTCGTATCAAGCTGCGCCCTGCGGAGCATTTTATTGGCTTATATCTCAAAAACTAAATCTTTTAGAGCAAATGTGACATGGGGTAAAATTATTCAATTGGTCAAGATCTATCAGCTCTGAAATTATCAGATGAATCGAACAACCCATTGTTGGGTTGCTGCCACCGAATTGGTAGTTTTAACAAAATTTTGCAGTTTTTTGTTATTATTTTGAATATTATTATAGATATACATAAACTGTAAGCAGCAATAATGTTCAGCAAAGTAAGATCTACAAAAAAGTTAATATGACCAAAATTGTCAATTGACCCCTTAAGGAGTTATTGCCCTTTAAAGACAATTTTACACAATTTGTTCATCAAGTTTGCTAACATTTAAAAATCTTCTCAGGTGAGCGATTCAGGCTCTTGAGAGCCTCTTGTTTTGTTTCCGTTCTCTAACTTGAGTTTGCCTCAACCAAATGTTATAAAACTTATCCACAATGTTTATTACCACAGATCAAGTTTGAAAGTGGTGTCACTTTCACTGTTCTAAAGTTATGCCTCTGTACAAATGGAAAAATTGCTGAAATATTAGTTTTTGTTCTCTAACTTTAGTTTGCCTCGACCATATGTTATGAAACTTATGCACAATGCTAATTACCACAATACACAGATCAAGTTTGAATTTTGTTGGTGTCACTTTTACCGTTCTAGAGTTATACCCCTTTACAAATCTCAAAATTGCTGAAATATTTGTTTCTGTTCTCTAACTTTAGTTTGCCTCAACCAAAGGTTATGAAACTTATGCACAATGCTAATTACCACAAAACACAGATAAAGATTGAATTTTGGTGGTGTCACTTCTACTGTTTTAGAATTATGCCCCTTTAGAAATGGAAAAATGGCTGAATATTTCGTTTCTGTTCTCTAATTTGAGTTTACGTCAACTTAATGTTATGAAACTTATAAACAATGCTAATTATTGTTTTCTTTTTAGATCTGAAATCATAAAAGAGCAAGGCCAATTTAAAGTGTTGCTTGGTAACACAGCCAAATTCCAGAAACATATGAAACAGTCCCAAGAGAAAGTAGATATGTTGAAGCAGCAATTATCTAAAGCCGATAACTTGTTGACTTTCTTTAAAGAACACTTTGAAAAGAATAGACAACAAGTAAGTGTTTAATTATAAGAAAAACAAACATTTTAGAATTCTATTAGTTTTAATGATTAGAAAAAGCTGATCTAATAAGATACTCTGGATTTATTTATTTTCGTTGATTAAGGAAAAACATTTTCGTGGATTATTGAATTTGTAGTTTTATATAAGTCTGCATACAAGCCTATAGAAATTTGTACTTTGTTGAACATTTGAATTCTTGGTTCACATGTACCCATGAAATCCACGCAAATTGATATTCCACCAATAATAATGAATCCACAATATTGTGGATTCTTTGATACTAATTTTTCAAGGATAAGCATAACAAAGGTTAACCACAAATTTAGGTGTCCCAACAAAAGACATTTTTTTATGTGTGTATATGAAATTGGAAATGGAACCGAGGAATGTGTCAAAGAGGCAACAACCTGACCAAAGAGCAGAAAACAGCAAAGGCCATCAATTGGTCTTCAACACAGCGAAAATGGATGTCACACTAAACTCTGAAACATATAAATGAACCAAAATTAAAAAGCATACAAGACTAACAAAGGCCAGAGGTTCCTAAGTTGGCACAGGCGCAAAAATGTGGCGTGGTTAAACATGTTTTAATGTGGAATAAACAAACACATAGCAATACGCATAGTAAAACTCAGTTAAAAAGAATGCAGATTTTGATAACAGATAATCATTGAATACTGAGTATTTAAGAAAAGTGATGAAAAAAACAAGAAAAGATAACCAGATATTTTGTGGAGTTGAATTTACTTTTGTACAATATATACAAACAAGGTGTTTTTATGATATATGTACACTCTCAAGGAGTGTATGATTTCCTACAATGTATACATTTACAATGTTTTTACAGGCAAGACAGTTTAAAGAACAGGTTCAGAAGAAGATGACAATTTTCAAAGAGAAAGAAAAACTATTAATGGCAATGGGTCAAAGGGTGTATGGAGTATCATACAAACCACGATCAGTAGTGGCTAAAGCAGGTGGCAAAAATAGAGTGGCTGATCTTTCTGTAACTGTTATAAATGATGTTAGTTGACTTTTTAAATTCCAATCCTTGTTTTGATACTTTCATTTTGAATGTGCCAGATGTGATCAGTTATAGAAATTTGTGAAATAGCTTATGGTGATTTTAATAAATTTCCTATTGTGATAAATCAGATAATCTCGTATGTGAAATGAGTTGTGTATTTTCACTTTCAATACTTTCCTTGCCATTTTACTGGATCCTCATTTGAGACTTCCAACTGGAGATTTGTGTCACATATCAACAGTTAATAATCCTGATGCATTTAAAACAACTTCTTGCTTCACAATAATTGCAAAGTCTGCATCAATCTACTCAAAGTAATGATCTGCCATTTTGACAGCTGTGTGCAATATACATATATTTATACGCTGAAAAAGTACAGTGAAATCAACAATACGTAAAGGGAATCTAGCTAATACCAGTCATACAGAAAAGGGTTTTGACGTTCTGTTTCTATATAATAAATAGAACAATCGCTGTATTTGAATATTTAAGATAAGACCACTTGTGACTGAACGCAGCTAGCTCACACTCATGTTTAATCCATGCTTCATTCTGTTACATGTTAACTAGTTATACTCTAATTATTGTTAACTTTTTTTTTGTTGATCCATAATTTGTGTTTAACTTTTCAGAATGCAGCAAAAGTAAAAGGCAAAGAAAATATAAACTCTAGATCTGATAAATCTAATAAGGATTCATTAGTGAAGGAAAAAGAACGTTTAAAAAAGATGGCTGATGACTACAGTAGAAAAATTCAGGATCTTAAAGATTTACAAGCAAAACGTGATCAGTTAATTAAGGAAAGTAGGTCACCAGTGAAAAAGAAAGCTAAGATTCCTAGACTAGAGAAAATTGAACTGGACTCTAATGTTCCGGATGATATTGTGATACGACCAAATAAGCGACGACTGTCTCTTAGGGAAATTAATCCAAGCAATAAACCTAATATTGAAAATAGTGGTGCTAATAACGTTTCTGTGTTAAATAAGACGCTGTCAGAGAATCAGTGCAAAGGTGCCGGAGATATTAAGCCAAAGTCTAGTCCAGAAAATATCAGTCAATTAGGTGTTTTACAACTGAGGAAGTTAAAAACATTGCAGGTATTTAATATGTAGACAAGTTCATGCAAATTAAAACATTAATACTAGTGAGAATGTATCCTTGCAAAATAAAAAAAAAAATGACAGGACATAAAAAAGAAGTGTACTATATGGCTGTGCAAATATTTCATAGTCATAAATGATATAAATTGGAAATTTGCTTTTTTGCATTTGTTGTTGTTTTCATGAATTGAATTTTTAAATACATATGTATACATAGTATATGTGTTGATTGCATAAAGTAGTTTTATTGAAATAATGATATATATAGCATAATAAATGATATGTACAACAAGAGCTACAACTGTACAACATGGGCAGATTTTGATATTTCCACCTGTCTTCAGAGGAAGTGTGCATATTGCAGGCAGAACATTTGGCGCTCCACCTTGCCTTCCCTACACAGTACATGTTTTCAATATAGGAATTGCCTATGCAATCCATATATATATAAAGATAAATAGTTTTATTCAATCAAAAATTTTGAGTGGACATGCATGGCTGCACTCTGTTAACAGTTTGAGAAAAATTAAAATTTTCTAAGATTGTACAGTATTTATGTTAAGAAAGTTAAATAGAAAGGAAAGGATAACTATTGTTTAAATGGAAGTTATAATTATTATATGTTTACATTCATAGATTCTAGTTTTCTTTCAGTGGAATATATTTGTGCTTTATCTTTATTTGCAGATTGAAAATGTAGAGAAATTCCTTAGTAATCTTGATCTTCCAGATTTATCATCACCATCTAGTCATCCGTTGTTGATTCCACAGTACAATCAAGTATTTATTTTTGAACTTTATCTTTTTTATTTAATCTGAATTAAGGTGGTACCAAACACCTTGACTATAATTAATTTTGCCCGTTTAATTTTCATAAAACTTTGACAAAATAATTACTTTGACCCTTTGACAAAAATATAAAAAATTTAAAAAACTTGAACCGCACACTTTATCGGAAAAATTCATTGGATATATATCAGTTCGACAAACAATAAGTTTGATCATTGAGAAGCTTAAATTTCCAAAACAATAGAATGTGATTAAAACATTCAGCTGATTTTTACAGAGTTATCTCCCTGTAGTGTTATGTACCACCTTAAAGTCTTGAACTTCATCATTTAACATTAGCCATTTGTCTAGCAATTTTAATTCAATAAAAACAAGCATGACAAGTGTGAATAATTGAAGATGTGTGTATAGGCCAACAAAACAGCAACTCAACAACACAAAATCCAAGAAGAGATGTAGAGCTGGATATATTTTTTTCTGAATTTTTAAAATCGCCTTCAATCATATATTCAATCCTGAACTTCATTGTATATACCATTTTCTAAATAGACAAAAAAAAATTGTAATACATTATTCAATACACAGAAAGCTAGAGCTAATTTAGTACATCATACATCCACCTAGATGCTTTATCGTTATATAAAGTTAACCATGTAGTTATTGACTTTATTGCAGATTTCCTCTTTCACAGAACATCATATTTTATCTAGAATGAAATCCACACATTCTTCATCACCTAGTCCAAAGTTAAAATATAGGAGTCCCTTACTACACTTTAAGTCATACAGGTAATTATAAATAACAAGTAAAATTCAAAATGCTGATTCTAAGAAAAACAATGTCTGATTTTCCTTTCTGTCTTTGTGTCTGTTGCAGTAAAGTTTCATTGCATCTCTGCTGAGCTTTAAACCTACAAAAGTGGAAACATTATGTCTAAGATTAGGGCAAACTTCATGAAGTTTAACCTTTTTGAGTAAAAAAAATAAGAAGATGTAGTATGATTACCAATGAGACAACTACCCATCAGAGACCAAATGAAGTAGATGTCTCCTTTTTGTCAGAATTAACTTTTACAAGTTTAATGATACAGGAAATTGCATATTTTATGATTTGTTTTAATGTTTGCAAGGCAGTTTAGAAGTTTTATTTTGTCATGCCTTAATGCACTTATAAAGTGGCATATATTGTATCTGTAAGTGAACAGTGTGTCTCATTCAGGTGCTATAGTAACCTACTTCTAATTATGTCATGTGACTGTAAACATGTTACATAGTGATCCATCATATTTAGAACACAATCTTCAATCCACTGAATTTCTGAATTTTTGGAATGTTTTGAAATAAAAGAATGTGAAGTTTGAATAGTATTTTGATTTCCACCATTAGGTATCTTCTAAATATGACAAAAGCCTAGCACAAAAAGCCAAAACGGGACCAAAGTCATGGGGCAATAAACAAGCTTGTCAACATTACACAAACATTGCACATTTAATTTATATTGATTCAACAACCCATTCTGTTTTCAAGGCAAATATGGAACAACCATTATTATTTAAAGACCAACTATGATATATATGTATAGATTTATGGCCATGTTTTAAGTACAGTTTGTTTTTTTTTTAGGTTCAGTCCTTATTTTAGAATCAAAGAGAAAATGTCATTATCCTCACCAACAGTAGCCAACAAAATTAATCCAAAGAAAATGTTGTGTAGATTTGATATACTGGGTACATGTCATGACGAAGAATGTGCAGGGTAGGTGTTATATAGATTTGAGGCACAGGGTATAATTTGCATATTTTGCAGTGAGTTGTGTGCAGGATAAGTTTATAGTAGATTTGACATACAAGGTAATTACAATATATGTCAAGTTTTTGCAAGATAAGTGTATTGTAGATTTGACAAACAGTATATTTTGAGGTGTGTGTCAGATGGGGGTGACATCCTGATTTCCGGAGAAAAAAACCCACTGAATTCCGACTTCTTGATAAAATTAAGCATTTTTTGTTGGATCATTGAAAAAATTGATTCCTGAGTCGTGATAAGTGTATATTTATTATAAACCAACTGCAGGTACATTGTAAAGCACTTCAATCTGATAAATTGGATTGTTCAAAACTTTCTGGTGACTGCACTTTTAAAGTGGCATAATATTTGCCTCTGTGATATTTGTGTCTCATTCGAGTGCTATATAAAAGTTGTATTGTAGCGTAAGAAATGTGTGCTGGTCACACAATTTAGTTTCAATAACACACAGTATTTCTAAAATTCAAATTTTTATTTGCCTCAACAAAGTTGAGAGGGACTATTTGAGGACACCCTGTTTTTTGAAGTCCATGTTCCTTTATGCATCAGCTGCCAGTTCTTAGAAACTAATTGAATTAGTTATGTCGGGTGATGTATCTTCATAAAACTGGATGAAGGTCATATGACCCTCATTTCATAGTTAGTAGTTTTGATTTAGTTTTTATACGACCGCAAACAAATTTTGTGGTCGTATATTGGTATGACGTTGGCGTCGTCGTCGTCGTCGTCCGAAGACACATTGGTTTTCGCACTCTAACTTTAGTTTAAGTGAATGGATCTTTTTGAAATTTTACCATAAGGTTAAATACCACAAAAGGAAGGTTGGGATTGATTTTGGGGGTTATGGTACCAACAGTTAAGGAATTAGGGGCCAAAAAGGGGCCAAAAGGGGCCAAAAATAAGCATTTTCTAGTTTCCAGACAATAACTGTGGAACGGTGTATGGATCTCTCTGAAATTATACTACAAGTTTCCATACCACAAAGGGATGGTTAGGATTTGCTTTGGGGGGTTATGGCTCAAACCGTTTAGGAATTAGGGGCAAAAAAGGGGGAAAAACAAGGTTGTCCTGGTTAATGGACAAATACTACAGTACAAAACATAATTTAAAGCAGTGTAAGGGAGATAAATCAAATACATCATTGAAATTATCTCCCTTACACTGCTTTTAAATTATGTATAAAGTAATGGTTAATGATCAATAAAGATAATTTAAAACAGTGTAAGGGAGGTAATCCAAATACAACGTTTTGGTTACTTCCCTTACACTGCTTTTAAATTATGTTTAAAGAAATGCATATTTATAAAGGAAGACCAGTAAAAATATCTGCAAATGTTGCATCATTTTTTTTTACAAAAAAATCCATATGAAAGATTTGACACTATATTTTTAATTCTATTATAAAATAGATTAAGTTAGCACTATGGTAAATTTAAATGGGTAATTATGGTTGCCAACTCCATTGGAAATTTGAATTGAGATTATGACCATATCTTGAGGGAAAGAATTTTTTGGGGGAAAAAAGGGGGGGGATAAAAAGAAATTGTGGGGGGTCAATTTTTTCTCATTTCAGATTTCAGAAATTAAAAAGAATTATTCTTCAAATATTATTTTTTTTTCAAATTTCAAATATTGAAAAATTTCAAGAAGTAATCTTTAATTGCACAGTATGGCGCATTAGATTTGTAAAATCTTTGATCACATTTATTTATTTGTTATGCCGAATCTAACAGTGTATTTAGATTTTTAATTTTGGGTCCAGTTTTCAAAATAGTCTACATTAAGGTCCAAAGGGTCCAAAATTAAACTTTGTTTGATTTTAGCAAAAATTGAATATATGAGGTTCTTTGATATGCTGAATCTGAACATGTATTTAGATTTTTGATTTTTGGCCCAGTTTTCAAGTTGGTCCAAATTGGGGTCCAAAATTAAACTTTGTTTGATTTCAACAAAAATTGAATATATGGGGTTCTTTGATATGCTGAATCTAACCATGTATTTAGATTTTTTATTTGTGGACCCCGTTATCAAATTGGTTCATATTGAGGTCAAAAGGGTCCAAAATTAAACTTTGTTTGATTTCATCTAAAATTGAATTATTAGGGCTCTTTGATATTCCCAATCTAACCGTGTATTTAGATTTTTAATTTTGGGTCCTGTTTTTTAAATTGGTCTACATTAAGGTCCAAAGGGTCCAAAATTAAACTTAGTTTGATTTTAGCAAAAATTGAATATATGAGGTTCTTTGATATGCTGAATCTAAACATGTATTTAGATTTTAGATTTTTGGCCCAGTTTTCAAGTTGGTCCAAATTGGGGTCCAAAATTAAACTTTGTTTGATTTCAACAAAAATTGAATATATGGGGTTCTTTGATATGCTGAATCTAACCATGAATTTAGATTTTTTATTTGTGGGCCCCGCTATCAAATTTGTTCATATTGAGGTCAAAAGGGTCCAAAATTAAACTTTGTTTGATTTCATCAAAAATTGAATTATTGGGGTTCTTTGATATTCCAAATCTAACCGTGTATTTAGATTTTTAATTTTAAGTCCCGTTTTTTAAATTGGTCTACATTAAGGTCCAAAGGGTCCAAAATTAAACTTAGTTTGATTTTAGCAAAAATTGAATTCTTGGGGTTATTTGATATGCTGAATCTAAACATGTGTTTAGATTTTTGATTATGGGCCCAGTTTTCAAGTTTGTCCAAGTTGGGGTCCAAAATTAAACTTTTTTTGATTTCAACAAAAATTGAATATATGGGGTTCTTTGATATGCTGAATCTAGCCATGTATTTTGATTTTGGACATTGGACCATAATAGGTAAATTAAAAAAATTCAAGTCCTTAGACCACATTCTTTCTGTGTCAGAAACCTATGCTGTGTCAAATATTTAATAACAATCCAAATTCAGAGCTGTATCAAGCTTGAATGTTGTGTCCATACTTGCCCCAACTGTTCAGGGTTCGACCTCTGCGGTCGTATCAAGCTGCGCCCCAGCGAAGCATTTTATTAAAATTTATTGAACTTTGACCTACATTTTAGAGTTTAAAAATAAAAAAATAAGAAGATGTGGTATAATTGCCAATGAGACAACTCTCAACCAGAGACCAAATGACATAGACGTTAACAATAGGTCACTGTGTGGCCTTCAAAAATGAGCAAAAGCCATACCACATAGTCAGCTATAAGCGTGATAAAAGACCCGGAATGACAAATGTAAAACAATTCAAACGAGAAAACCAACGGCCTGATTTATGTAAAAAACAATGAATGAAATACAAATATGATATACAGCAACAAACGACAATCACTGAATTACAGGCTCATGACTTGGGACAGGCACATGCAGAATGTGGTGGGGTTAAACATGTAAGCGGTTGCCCAACAGTATTGTTGACTTGTATATAGGTTAAGGAGCAAGTTCATATTTCAGATACCTACAAGCATGTAACTTAAATGAAAAAATGTGTCATTGAAATATTAGATTTTAGAGTACATTTTCAGAATTCAGATGCAAATATATAACTGGTAATAGGCCAGTATAGTAGAGTTCTACAGTAAGATGGTCACTTTTTACAAACCTTTTATGCTGATATTGAATTTAACATTTTAGTTCAGTTCTCAGATACTAAATGATTTACAATTATATAACTTGGTTAAATTGGTCAATGGATGAATCTGTATAGAAGGTGGTATATATGACTGTTTTACACATCATTCACTTATATTTAGTTCAACGTCTGACTTTATTTCTTCAATATAAAGTGCTTTACAATCATATACTGTAAATTCAGAAATTATTGCATTCATTTATTATTGTGATTTTTGTCGAGCCTGCGACTTTTGTCGCAGAAAGCTCGACATAGGGATAGTGATCCGGCGGCGGCGTTAGCTAACTTCTTAAAAGCTTTATATTTTAGAAGGTGGAAGACCTGGATGCTTCATACTTTGTATATGGATGCCTCATGTTACAAAGTTTCTGTCAGTCACATGTCCAATGTCCTTGACCTCATTTTCATGGTTCAGTGACTACTTGAAAAAAAAGTTAAGATTTTTTGTAATGTTAAATTCTCTCTTATTATAAGTAATAGGATAACTATATTTGGTATGTGCGTACCTTGCAAGGTCCTCATGCCCGTCAGACAGTTTTCACTTGACCTCGACCTCATTTCATGGATCAGTGAACAAGGTTAAGTTTTGGTGGTCAAGTCCATATCTCAGATACTATAAGCAATAGGTGTAGTATTTTCGGTGTATGGAAGGACTGTAAGGTGTACATGTCCAACTGGCAGGTGTCATCTGACCTTGAACTCATTTTCATGGTTCAGTGGTTATAGTTAAGTTTTTGTGTTTTGGTCTGTTTTTCTTATACTGTATGCAATAGGTCTACTATATTTGGTGTATGGAATGATTGTAAGGTGTACAGTCTAGCTGGCAGGTGTCATCTGACCTTGACCTCATTTTCATGGTTCAGTGGTCAAAGTTAAGTTTTTGAGTTTTGGTCTTTTTTTCTAATACTATATGCAATAGTTCAACTATATTTGGTGTATGGAAATATTTTATGATCTATATGTCAGTCACGCAGGTTTTATTTGACCTTGACCTCATTTTCAAGGTTCATTCCTCAGTGTTAAGTTTTTGTGTTTTGGTCTGTTTTTCTTAAACTATAAGCAATAGGTCAACTATATTTGTTGTATGGAAGAATTGTTAGCTGTACATGCCTGCATAGCATGGTTCATCTGACCTTGACCTCATTTTCATGGTTCATTGGTCAATGTTTAGTTTACTTGGTTAATGTTAAGTTTATGTGACAGTTGTAATAAAGCTTTATATTTAGGACTATCAACATAATATCAATGATTAGTAAAGAAGGCGAGACATTTCAACGTGTGCACTCTTGTTGAAGAATGAACAAACATGTGAGATTAATTATTGCAAACAGATATCAGAATTTGAGTTCTTATTATTGCGATACTCACTTAGTCTCATTATTCGCAATAATGAAAACCTTGCAATAATTTCTGAATTTACAGTAACTCCATGTTAGGAGAAAATTATAACCTTCTTTAAAATGTAGGCCATTCTCTCCCTAACTTCATGATTCATTTAATTTTAATGTTCAAATTTATTTCTCAGATAATTAGATATAAGTGAATTACATTTCAGTCCTTTGCACGCTTAAGTTAATTTTAAAGTGTTCTGAAAATTATTTAAGGTTTATCAAGCAAATTCAGATATTAAAAGATATTGCAAAACTTTGTAATAAAATATAACTTGTTTCAAAATGATGTTAAAATGTAATTTTATTGTAATTAAGAACATAGTTAAAAATGTTTCAAAAATAAATGTTAAGTCGGAAAGTATTATTTTTATTTCAGGCAACATCAGTCCAACTATCAGATGTCACAAGACGAAATACTACAAGACATTTTATCCTACTGTCCAGCTGTAGCAGATATAGATAAAGATACAAATCCTATCCATTATCAAGCAGAAATAGGTAAGATATATATCCTACTGTTCAGCTGTAGCAGATATAGATATAGATACAAATCCTATCCATTATCAAGCAGAAATAGGTAAGATATATATCCTACTGTCCAGCTGTAGCAGATATAGATAAAGATACAAATCCTATCCATTATCAAGCAGAAATAGGTAAGATATATATCCTACTGTTCAGCTGTAGCAGATATAGATATAGATACAAATCCTATCCATTATCAGGCAGAAATAGGAAAGACCTTCTATCCTACTGTCCAGCTGTATCATAGATAAAGATACAAATTCTATCCATGATCAAGCAGAAATAGGTAAGACCTTCTATCCTACTGTCCAGCTGTAGCAGATATAGATATAGATACAAATCCTATCCATTATCAGGCAGAAATAGGTAAGACCTTCTATCCTACTGTCCAGCTGTAGCAGATATAGATATAGATACAAATCCTATCCATTATCAGGCAGAAATAGGTAAGACCTTCTATCCTACTGTCCAGCTGTAGCAGATATAGATAAAGATACAAATCCTATCCATTATCAAGCAGAAATAGGTAAGACCTTCTATCCTACTGTCCAGCTGTAGCAGATATAGATAAAGATACAAATCCTATCCATTATCAAGCAGAAATTGGTAAGAAATTAAAAGTTCTGCATATTTTTGAAGAAAAACTTAAAATTTGAAAGTTCTATTAAGATAAGGATATGCATATGATTTCCAATGAGAAGACTATCCATGTAAACAACTCCATGCAATAATATGAACTTTAACAATGAGCAAAAAAAAACATTTAGGTAAAGTAAACTAAAATGTTAAACCTAAGCTATTAAAAAGAAAAATATCAACGGTCTGACTTAATGCTAAAACAAAACCCAAAAAAACAATTGTGTCAGACAGAAACCATGGACAACCCCTTGATTACAGACTCATGACTTTAGAGAGGCACAGAAAGAATGAGGCGTGTTAAAATATTTTTGTTTAAACATGTCAGCCCATATTCACAAAATGATGCATAGTGAGCATAGAAAGTGAACTTTTATAGACAATATAATGTTCATATCCTTAAGAACGATCATATTTTTAGTTTTCAAAGGTCATATGACATGTACAACAGATATTTATAATGTAAATCAATTCAGATTTGACAGGAGATAACATGCAACAATTTAATCAAATTGTGGTTTATCAAAAAATAGGTCAGAACTGGTTTGAATGCACCAAGAATTACAGAAAAATTTGCATGTAGAAATATGAAACAAAAAATACCAGCAGCATGTGTGCTTCTTATATATATGATTTTATGAAATCAATATAAAAAAAACTATCCAGTCCTCTTTATGAGACCATCTATTCTGCACAGGAAATTTTGCCATATTTAGGAAAGGCGTATGGTGTGTGTTACAGGTGTTAATTACTTAGTATGGCTACTGTATGACTAGCCTGTCAACTTTGAGGCTGTGAGTTTGAACCCCATACTTGGCAGGAGTGCTCAACTCCAATCTTAATTGACAAGGATTGTCAGTTTCTCTGCTAAAGGATGGGGGTTGATTCTACGTACCAATGAAAACTGACTGCCACCAAATAGCCAATAGTGAAAGTGGTGTTAAACACCAATCAATCAATACTTTTGTATGATACATAGTATTTGATGTAGATGGATTGTTTGTTTTTGTGAAAAGCTTCATGAAAGGGGGAACAATGTTTACAATATTTTCACAAAGAGATAGTTGTTTGAAGATTAATTGATTGATTGATTGGTGTTTAACGCCACTTTCAACACTATTGTGCTATTTCGTGGAGGTCAGTTTTTATTGGTGGAGGAAGCTGGAGTGCCCGGAGAAAACCACAGACTTTTGGTAGGAAAACTGACAATCCTAGTCATTATACGACCGCAAAAAAATTTTTGTGGTCGTATATTGGTATGACGTTGGCGGCGTCGTCGTCGTCGTCCGGCGTCGTCGTCGTCCGGCGTCGTCGTCCGAATACACATTAGTTTTCGCACTCTAACTTTAGTTTAAGTGAATGGATCTCAATGAAATTTTACCATAAGGTTCAATACCACAAAAGGAAGGTGGGGATTGATTTTGGGGGTTATGGTACTAACAGTTAAGGAATTAGGGGCCAAAAGGGGCCAAAAATAAGCATTTTTGTAACTTCCAGACATAACTTGTGTGTAAGTGTATGGATCTCTCTGACATTGTACCACAAGGTTCCATATCACAAAGGGAATGCTGGGATTGATTTTGGGGGTAATTGCCTCCAAATTTTAGGAATTGGGGGCCAAAAAGGGGCAAAAAACAAGCATTTTTCTAGTTTCATGACAATATCTTGTTTGTAAGTGTATGGATCTTTATGAAATTGTACTACAAGGTTCCATATCACAAAGGGAATACTGGGATTGATTTTTGGGGTAATTTCCTCCAAATTTTAGGAATTAGGGGCAAAAAAGGGGCAAAAAAAAAGCATTTTTCTAGTTTCATGACAATAACTTGTTTGTAAGTGTATGGATCTTTATGAAATTGTACTACAAGGTTCCATATCACAAAGGGAAGGCTGGGATTGATTTTGGGGGTTTTCCCTCAAAATTTTAGTAATTAGGGGCCATAAAAGGGCAAAAAAAACATGCATTTTTCTAGTTTCAGGACAATAACTTGTGTGTAAGTGTATGGATCTTTATGAAATTGTACTGCAAGGTTCCATATCACAAAGGGAAAGCTGGAATTGAGTTTGGGGTAATTGCCCTAAACGTTTAGGAAAAAGGGGCCAAAAAACAAGCATTTTTGTAGTTTCCAGACAATAACTTGTGTTCAAGTGTATGAATCTCTCTGAAATTGTACTGCAAGGTACCATACCACAAAGGGAAAGCTGGGATTGAGTTTGGGGTGATGAATCATAAGGGGGTTCAAAAAATTGGGGGGGGGGATTTTTTTTTCCTTTTTTTTCTTTAACATTTTCCATTTTAAATTGGTTATTTCTGATTTATATATAAAAGCAAATAATAATGATATGGTTTGAATAGGCATACATGTGAACCTCCCGACGGGAGTACAATAATCCCGTTTTCAGGGGTCTCCTCCCGACCTCCCGTTGAAGAGGAAAAAATCCTGTGTATGAAATTTTTCATGAATGAAAAATTTCTGCCCAACATATCATCTCAGGCATCTGGTGTAACTGACATTACCTGAAGTTATATTTTACCTGTAAATCAATTAACATGCATAATTATATGGCTTCACTTGTCAGCTTGGGTGTCAAACATACAGGTAATCAACGATTTTTACCTCAGGCTAACTGCCGTTGTGTAACAAAAACTGTGTATTTATTGGGTTACTTCCCTTGATTTATCCTGTTTTAAGTTACTTTCCTTTTAATAATGAAAATTTTTAAAAGAATATAAATAAAATATAAATTGAACAAATAATCATAAAAGGATGGTTATTAAATGATTTTAAATGTCTTAGGACAAATAAAAAAATAATAATTTGAAAATTATTTGAGGATTCTAGACTTCCTTTCAAGGCTTAAATTGAAATTTATATAATAACTATGACCCTAATTTTACAGTTAAAATGATTTTTTGAGTTTGCAAGAGAAAAAATAAAAAATAAAAACTATTTGCAGATAGCTAAACAAATGTTCTGGTTGCAATGATTGTTTTATAGAATATGAAGTAAAAAATTTAAAGAACATACTGGAAAAATACAATGTTAGATTGAACATGTAGAATATAAAGATGGAGAAACTTTATAAGTACAAGGGTACTATAAACATAATAAATTGGATGGAAAGTTGAAGAAAACACACTTTAAAAGACCATTTTTACAGCACACGGTTACATTTACAACAAAATTAATGTCGATTAAAAACCTCCTGATCTGAGTCCTAATCTCCTGACCAAAATTTCCCAATCTCCTGATCTGAGTTTCACAGTCCATCACATGTATGAATAGGTAAATTGAAAATTTTTAAGTTCTTAGACCACTTTCATTCTGTGTCAGAAACCTATGCTGTGTCAAATATTTAATTACAATTCAAATTCAGTGCTGTATCAAGCTTGAATGTTGTGTCCATACTTGCCCCAACTGTTCAGGGTTCGACCTCTGCGGTCGTATCAAGCTGCGCCCCAGCGGAGCATTTTATTTAAGATTGGAGTCGAGTGCACCTGCCCTGTGCGGGATTTGAAGTCACAACCTCAGTGTTGACTGGCTAGTGGTAAAGTAGTTGGTCTACTTAGACCACTCGGCCACCGAGGCCCCCTTTGTTTTAAGAAATTTTCCCCATAAACATGTTATAAATACTAATAAATACTAATGAATTATTTTTATTGACAGGTCGTTACGTAACACAGGTTAGAAAACAGTATGAAGGGATGTTCACTATAGACAGGTTATTTGTACTAATGGCCAGTCAGGTTAATGAGAAAGGTGCACATAGTGAGTAATTTGTTGGAATATGTATTTGTGTAGACACAAAAAAAATCAATATCTTTTTGACAGTGTTCTCAAACTGAGATGTTAAATTTGCTAATATGTAAGATGAACCAAGAAATTAATCATGTTGATACTACCTTCCTTTATTGCCTATTTAAATCAAGTTACAGGGTAAAAAATGGATGGCTGAAAACCTGTCTTTACTGATTGTTTTTATATTTACAATTCCTAATGAAACATTGATGGTTCACTTAACAATCAAGCTAACTCAAATTTAATGCAGATACGTGTACTCTAAAATAGTTTGACTGTTATGGAGAACATCAAGCTATAAAGAATTTTTTTGGAAATTTAACTCAATTGAGATGTTTCTATACAAGTAAAGTGTGTTGGAAGTTTATTTTATTATATGTTTTTGTTACTTTTAATGATTACCTTGTATATTTTTATAAATTTTTTTTCAGTAAAACCTCATATGATGTTTTACAAGCCAAGGAAATGGAAACCTTCCCAGAAAGATTTGCTAGCTAACAAACCAGACTTTATACATAAAGGCTTGGAAGTCGATAAACTTGGTATGTAAATGGTTACAGTAAGGGCTGTTCCAAAATTTATCTGGTTGGGGTATGAGAGGCACTCAAATTAATTCAATATGTGTGGTTGCATTTTACAATTTTGTTAGAATTATAAGTAAAGTGAATTTTTTTATTTTATGGTGGTCAGAGTTTTAAAAAAGTGCCCCCTACAGCCCAAATAAAAATAAGAGCATTTTATATTTAACAGAAATCTTTTTATGTGTTATTTGTTAAAAAAAAATCTCTGAATTAGAGGAAAATTAACATAATTTTACAAATTAATTTATATCTGCTACTCATAACTGGAAAAGGCACAAGGAAATTACTTTTGTATTTCTCTACCTTTGAGAATAAACATTTGACAGATTTCTGTATGAAGTTGTTGATCATTTCAATGTATAGTTCATCAATAGGATTATTGCTTTCCTTGTCTGTAGAACTGCTTTGTGTGCTCACCTTGAATGCAGTAGGTCATGGGTTTGATCTCCAATAAGGTCAAACCATAGGATAGAATTTGGTATTTGCTCCTTCTACACTAAGATGGCTGTTTCAACAGTTTTCTCTATTAACCACAAGTCTTACGGACTTGGGCAGTTAAAGTGATGTCAGGCCATTTATATTTGCATGAAGAGAGGCATTACAAGCAGTATGAATTTAATTAAATTTGTTGTTTTTCGGGCTTACAAGTCAAATGTTATTTCTCATGAAGACTGCTGGTAAGAGTAAGACCAAGAATGTCAATTTGGAGTTTACAATAACGGTTCAGGCTAAGGTAAATTGTAGATGTTGTTGTTGATTGAAATAACCTTGATTTTTGGCATTGCTTCAAAATATTGATTATTTTGATATATCTGGATGAGGAGTCATAACTTCTGTAATGATCAAGAAAACTTTTACAATTTCAGAATGGAAGAAGCCATTGGATTTCCAGGATCTAGACAATGTGATAAGTGACCAAGACATGAGATATTTTGTTATGTCAGACACGGCTAACATACAGGATTTAGAATCATCAGTGTTAGATTCTCCAGAAGATGAAGAACTGTGGCTTAAATTAGCTTACAAAAAATTACATGATCCTCAAAGGTAGATAGCTTGGATATAAAGTATCAAAATAGTTGTTGAAGATAAAATGTAAAATTTGAGAAAATAAGAAATAAAGAATTAAGTTATTAACTACTGATATTCAAGGGTAAAACAAAACTTATAATAAAATGATCTGAGCAATCAATGATGGAGGGTAAAATCTGCAAACCGTTTAACCTTAAGGTTGTCAAGGGATTTGTGCATAAAGATAAAATGTCTAGATTATTCAATATTTTTTTATTTCTGTTTTTATATTTTATTTGTTGTCAATGTTATTTTTTAAGGACCTCCATCTTTTTTATCTTGGTGAACTATGTTTTTGTATTGGTTGGTTTTAAGTGTTTTTTTTTTTTCTTTTGTTTGGAATATATAAGTATTGCAGATAAAAGAAATAGTCATGATTCACCTAAACGTGGCATTTTATCAGGTACTTGATTAAATGTCGTTCACTGGTGATAGATAAACTATAGAGAAGCACGTAACATTACAGGATAAAGTTGTACTGTTACATACATTCTCTAGGACAGGTAACCAGATTGTAAAGTTGTACTGTTACATACATTCTCTAGGACAGGTAACCAGATTGTAAAGTTGTACTGTTACATACATTCTCTTAGGACAGGTAACCAGATTGTAAAGTTGTACTGTTACATACATTCTCTAGGACAGGTAACCAGATTGTAAAGTTGTACTGTTACATACATTCTCTAGGACAGGTAACCAGATTGTAAAGTTGTACTGTTACATACATTCTCTAGGACAGGTAACCAGATTGTAAAGTTGTACTGTTACATACATTCTCTAGGACAAGGAACCAGATTGTAAAGTTGTACTGTTACATACATTCTCTAGGACAAGGAACCAGATGTTATGGACATTTTTACACAGTATATCACCCACATTGTCAATGTAATTCCATTTATATTTACATGTTTTTGTATCTACTTAAAAATTGTTCATTGTTGGATCCCACAATCATTAAGTTCAGATATTCCACTACTTTTAGTGTCTTAGAATTATACCCGTTTGAATTTAAATGTTTAATATTCATACAACAAAGTTTGTAAAGGGGCATATTGCTTTAACACGTTCTGTCTGTAGGCTTGTTTTTCCTTCATATCCATTTAATGGATTGATGACTAGTTCTCTACTCAACTTCTACAGTTTTAGATCTATTCATTTTTTTTGTCATATATATTTTTGAAGTGTTCAAATTATCAAGATTTTTATTTCATAAACTATTCCATATTGACAGTTTTGGTCAATTTGGAGTATATGATGCACTATTTGTCCACTCAACTCCCACCATTTTTGTCTTGCCTTTAAGATTTCTGTTGCAGAATGCAAGACATAGGGATGCTAATTTGGCTTAAGCCGAAATGCTTTTTGTATAAAGCAGTGTATTTCAGAAGGTAGAAGAGCTCATTTTCATGATCATGACTGTTTATGACCGCCCCATTGTTAGGCAAAGGGGGCATTAAGTGTAACCCTTGTCCGTCCGTCTGACGTACGTCCCAAAATTGGTTTCCGTTCTCTAACTTTAGTTTGCCTCAACCAAATGTTATGAAACTTATACACAATGCCTATTACCATAAAACACAGATCAAATTCGAATTTTGGTGGCATCACTTTTGCAGTTCTCTAGTTATGTTCCTTTATAACGTAATATGCAAGCAGTAGCATCATCCCTGTCCCATGGACACATTTTCCATTTATTTCTATCAGTTATAACTATATTTGGTTATTTAGAATCTTGTCCTTCAGATAGGTTTCATGTGACCTTGACCTTGACCTTGTTTTATGGTTGATCAGCCTTAAGTTATCTTGGTTAGGTCAGTTTTCTCTGATACTAAAAATTAATAGGGTTCATCCTACATGTTTTCAGCTTGAAGGTGTTTATTTTGTGGAATATGCATGGCAAGAAATGTGTCTTACAGACATAGGGTAATTGCAGGTCAAAGGGGAAAAAAAACGTTTTATTGAAATGCAGTGTCCAAAGGAATATTATTGATTTGTTTAGTATTTAGCTCATCTGACCATTTGAAGCATGTTTTTACTTTGAGTCTCTATTTCAAATAATTTTATGAAAGTAAAGTGTATTTAGAAACCTTAATTTATAGGACAGATACAGTTAGTTTTATATCTAAATAGAATGAACAAATATTTAAGGAGGTCTTTTTCTTTGATTTTAGCCAAGAAGAAGCTAATCTAGACAATGCATTAAATGTTCTAGCTAGAGGACTAGAGGAAAATAAATGTAGTTGTGATTTGTGGAAACATTATTTGAAGTTATATAGTAGACATAAGGAGAGTTCAGACTTAGTAGAACTTTGTGCTACAGCCTTACAGTACGCTCAGCATTATGATATCTGGTGGCAGGTAGGTTCAGAGAGTAGGAGCTTTCCAAAAAGCTAGGTTTATGTGCCTGTCCCAAGCATATATGTTTACATCATTTGCGGATTAATTTTATATCCCTTTGTTAACAATGGAAGAAAAGCATACTGTGTTTGAAATGATTAATTCATTGTTCCTCAAGCCTCAGAGAATATGGTAATATTATCCGGTAGTCCACATTGCTAACACTATTCCTCTGAGACCATTTATAGCTTTCATACTTAGTAGGATATTGCACCACCATCTTGATTTTGAAAATTTTACTAGACCTCTGAGACTGTCGTGACAGAAAACTCTTTTATCTTGTAGGATTGTTTACCACCATGTGTTGTTTGTCATATACAGCTGATTGCTTCAACAATTTTTATAGGAGTTAAGGGACTGGTCATTTTTTTGAGTATTGTAACATTGACACCTTGTGAATGCTACTCCTTTGAGACTGTTTGACAGAAAACTCTCATACTTAGAAGGAATTTTTGCCATCATGTATAATTGACCATTTCTTGTATTTACAGTATATGAATGCTTCCAGTTCTATAGTAGATAAACAAACTATCTGTGATATGATTTTGAGCTTCCTGCAATCCCAAGAGTCTCTACTACCAGAGGAGATGTCACATGACCTTCTGGAAACCATCTTATATAAAACGTCATTACATGTATGGTCAGGAAAATTGAAAACTGCTCATAAATTTCTCCAGGTAAGCATGAAATATGCATATTAATTACTTATTGAATGTATATATGTGTGTGTCAGATTTACCATGTTTACAAGGGAATTTTGAAAAAAAATGAGCCAAAAAAAGCATAAGGGTCAAGCTGAGCATACAAATGTGATAGTTGTGAGTGGGACATTTTGCCTAGAATAAACACTACCATCAAACCTGCTTTGAAAGTCACCTCTATTAAGCAAAAACCTGTCTGTTCAGGTCACTCCCTACTTGTGCCACTGACTAATATTAAGATTTCTATTTATCACTGAAATAAAGGTCGCACCTTAAAGTGTCATGTAGACTATTATGTTATCTATGTGTCTCATTCAAGTGCAACAGAAAATAACAGAAATATAACATTAGTACTGATTTGTTACAGTACTGATAATTGATTCTGTTACAATTTGTTAATGTGACCTTTGGCTTAAATGGTAAAGGGTTGCGAGGGTCTACAAAATTAGCAGATTTAAGAGTCTGAAAGGAAGACCCTTATTGAAGTGGTGTCCGTTTGGTTAAGAGGGATGTATGAAATGACAGTCAACTCTGATAAGAACTGAGAGGGATTGAAATGTGCATGCAGTTGGAGCAGTGTCATACTCTCTGTACATGGGAGAACTTTTGTGACAGAAGGGTTAGATAGGTTGACTTTTATAGCTGTACATGGGAGAACTTTCGTGACAGAAGGGTTAGATAGGTTGACTTTTATAGCTGTACATGGGAGAACTTTCGTGACAGAAGGGTTAGATAGGTTGACTTTTATAGCTGTACATGGGAGAACTTTTGTGACAAAAGGGTTAGATAGGTTGACTTTTATAGCTGTACATGGGAGAACTTTTGTGACAGAAGGGTTAGATAGGTTGACTTTTATAGCTGTACATGGGAGAACTTTCGTGACAGAAGGGTTAGATAGGTTGACTTTTATAGCTGTACATGGGAGAACTTTCGTGACAGAAGGGTTAGATAGGTTGACTTTTATAGCTGTACATGGGAGAACTTTTGTGACAGAAGGGTTAGATAGGTTGAATTTTATAGGCTTTTTTAAAGTTTTTCCTTTGGTCTGTTCCATGTTCAAGTTTTTGTTTATAAAGGTAGTTTACACATGAACTTATATAAAAATAAGGAGATGTGGTATGATTGATAATGAGACAACTATTCACCAAAGTTCAAATGAAGTGGATGTAAGCAATTATAGGCAACCGTACAGCCTTCAACAATGAGAAAAATGCATGCAGTATAGTCGGCTATAAAATGCTTTTTTGTTATTTAATGTTATTCGGGGTTATATCTGGTCTATATACCAGCTTTGATAAGTGTTTTGTATTACTATAAATTTTCACTTCGTACCATGAACATCAAAATTATTTATTTTGTAAAAATATTTCCTTTCTCTATTGGAACTGTACACGTATACCTAACAACAAAATTATTTTCATTTACCTGTGTTTAAAGTTATTGCAAATGGCTGATGTTTTTGTTCGAGCATATTGTTTTTCTTAAATTGTTTAACATTTCATACCGATATAACATGTTACTTTTACCCCTATTATTCTTCCCTTAGTTTATTTATTTTGTATTTACATTGTATCATAGGTCAAATTTATTTGTTTAGTGTTTGTTCACTGGTGTTAATATGTCCTTTGATTGAGTTAAGCTATTTCAGTTGATATTTTATAGTGTGTCTTTCTATGTTGTGATGTTACACTATTGTTTCAGAAAATGGGTGAAGGTTTGGTACCATAAAAACGTTTAAACCCGCTGCATTTGTTTGCACCTGTCCTAAGTCAGGAATCTGATGTTCAGTAGTTGTCGTTTGTTGATGTGGTTCATAAGTGTTTCTCGTTTCTCGTTTTTTATATAGATTAGACTGTTGGTTTTCCCGTTTGAATGGTTTTACACTAGTCATTTTCGGGGCCCTTTATAGCTTGCTGTTCGGTGTGAGCCAAGGCTCTGTGTTGAAGACCGTACTGTGACCTATAATGGTTTACTTTTATAAATTTTGACCTGGATGGAGAGTTGTCTCATTGGCACTCATACCACATCTTCTTATATATACTGACATAACAAATATGAAACAATTCAATTGAGAAAACTAACGGCCAAACTTATGAAAAAACAATTTACGAAAAACCAATATGACCGACATGAACCAACGACAACCACTAATCTACAGGCTCCTGACTTGGGATAGGCACATTAAGAATGTGGCTGGGTTAAACATGTTAGCTTAGTACACATGTGCAATCATTAGGATACAAACTTTTTAAAAATAATTATATGATAAATAAAAATTAAAAATATGTCAAATTGGAGATTGCAAGGTTTACAAAATGGAAATGGGATGGTGTGAACTAGGCATGGTGTTGTATGGACATCTTTTGTTTTACTAAAAATATACAGAGTAAATATATTATGACTAATATCAAGATTCATACATATGTATTTATGTGCGGTATAACATACTGGTCAATCAACTAGTATAATTCATTTAAATAACAATTAACGGCTATGATCATCTCTAGGCCAATGGGTCTTTAATTGACCATTTGGCACAGCACAAATAGTATTTGTGAAATTTTATCTTTATATATTTCCATTTTTTATTACATTGGTGAGCTAGAAGATGTTTACAAAATTTTAACTTATTACTAAATGTAATTTCAAAGTGTCTTAAAATCAAAAACATTAGAACTCCTATTTGTAGTTTTCCTTGCAAATGGGAATTGGTGTACTAGCAGTAGCAAGACCCTAAGCATGCGTCTCGAGACTGCTTAGGGTTATTTAATTAAGTGTGCTTAGACTGAAAAAAAATTCTTTATAACATTGGTATTTGTAAATCGCACTTTAAAGTGTCACGTAGACTATTATGTAATCTATGTGTCTCATTCAAGTGCAACAGAAAATAACAGAAACATAACACTAGTACTGATTTGTTACAGTACTGATAATCGATTTCTGTTACAAATGGTTTTATCTGAACTTATGGTTTTGATGCTCAAGGGTAGCATGGGCCGGGCTTCCAAATAATATTTGAGCCAGCCGGACATTTTTTTTGTGTGTCTCATCCCGATTTTAATCCTTTGAGACTTAGTAACAACAGGCAACCATAGTAATCAGTTGGGCATCATATAAATTATGATTGACACAAAAACAGTATTTGACTTGATTTTTAATATAAATTCGATGTTTTGGCGTTAACTGTTACATTGATAGTGCACCATTCGAAGTTTGCAACATCCGCGTACTAATATATGCCGAAGACTATTTATTTGTGCAAAATTATGCTGTCAATAACTTCACTTTCGTTTCTAAAAAGTACATATCTAATACCGGATGTTGACTTGACAATGGTAAAAGACGGACCAGAGACAGATACTTAAAATCCGTGTAGGTTTACAAAGCACGACAGAGTTTAAGTAGCTCTTTTCGCGTTATTTCTACAGGAAAATACTCGAAATGAAAGTAAGATAAAGGTATCAATGATATTTTTAGCATTTTTGAAAATTCGGATGCGCACGAGTGTACTAGTTCAAAAAATGTGGTTCTGACTATTTTTGACTTAAAATCTTTATTACTACCTTTTTAAATTTTCATCAAATCATATTTATATACGATTTCTGGTATTCTGAATCTTGTTGACTAAATTAATTAGATGCAAACCGCTGAAATTTAAGAAAATAACTTTTAATAGACTAATGTCTGGTACAAAATAGTATTACCTGTCGCCTGAACAGGTAAAATCAGCTGTCAGAGAACTAATTTACCCTGATTGTAATGAGAGGGTATTAAAGTAGGGTTTGTTTTGATAGTAATTATAATCATGTCACTTATATGACCGGAAATGTGTGGCTGTTTAAGGCAAAAGGTCAAGTCAAAAGATTGCATAAACTTCAATTTTTTTTCTGAACTATGTTATTAAAATGTCCGTTTCAGCCTCGTCACAACAAGTCATTTATATAATTTATCGGACTTGTCTGGAAAATACGACCGTTTTGGAAGCCCTGAGCTTGGGTCTAGAAAATGATTGTTGGAAACTGTTCTATCTGCATGATCTGACAGGCAGAACCTTTTTGAAGAGGTGTCTGTTTGGTTCTGCTGGATGTTTGAATGACAGTCACCTCTGATTAGATTTGAGAGGGATTAAAATGTGTATGCAGTTGAAGGAGTACCCTACTCTCTGTAAATGGGAGAACTTTAGCAACAGAAGGAGTTGATAGGTTGACATCTTTTTATGCCCCCGCCGTAGCGGATGGGGCATTAAGTTTTACCCTTGTCCGTCTGTACGTACATAAGTACGTACGTAAGTACGTAGGTCCGTCCGTATGTCCCGAAATTGGTTTCCGTTCTCTAACTTCAGTTTGCCTCAACCAAATGTTATGAAACTTATACACAATGCTTATTACCACAAAACACAGATCAAGTTTGAATTTTGGTGGTGTCACTTTAACCGATCTAGAGTTATGCCCCTTTATAAAAGGAAAAATTGCAAACATTTTATTTTCTTCTAAATATCAAGTTTATATAATATATTTTTAAAATTGGAGTTATCTTCCTTTGACCATGATTATAGTTGAATCAACTAAAATCATTGCTTTATACAATGCAATGTTTAATTTTGACTTCCACTGATAAAACACAGATCAAGTTGAATTTGGGTAGTGTCACTTTAACCATTATTGAGTTATGCCCCTTTATAAATAGAAAGATTGCAAAATTTTTTAGTTTCCATTCTGTAACTGAAGTTTTCCCCAGCCAAACATTATGAAACCTATACGTATGTACGTCCGTCCGTACGTCCCGAAATTGGTTTCCGTTCTCTAACTTCAGTTTGCCTCAACCAAATGTTATGAAACTTATACACAATGCTTATTACCACAAAACACAGATCAAGTTTGAATTTTGGTGGCGTCACTTCAACCGATCTAGAGTTATGCCCCTTTATAAAAGGAAATATTGCAAAATTTTTAGTTTCCGTTCTCTAACTTAAGTTTGCCTCAACCAAATGTTATGAAACTTATACACAATGCTTATTACCACAAAACACAGATCAAGTTTGAATTTTGGTGGTGTCACTTTAACCGATCTAGAGTTATGCCCTTTATAAAAGGAAAAATTGCAAAAATTTTATTTTCTTCTAAATATCAAGTTTATATAATATATTTTTAAAATTGAAGTTATCTTCCTTTGACCATGATTATAGTTGAATCAACTACAATCATTGCTTTATACAATGCAATGTTTAATTTTGACTTCCACTGATAAAACACAGATCAAGTTGAATTTGGGTAGTGTCACTTTAACCATTATTGAGTTATGCCCCTTTATAAATAGAAAGATTGCAAAATTTTTTAGTTTCCATTCTGTAACTGAAGTTTTCCCCAGCCAAACATTATGAAACCTATACACAATATTCATTACCACAAAACTCAGTAAGGATCAAGTACAATTTTTTTGTTTCAGTTCTCTAAATTGAGTTTGCCTCAACCAAATGTTATGAAACTTATACACAATGCTTATTACTACATAATACAGATTAAGTACGAAATTAGGTGGCAACACTTTTACCATTCTAGAGTTATGTCCCTTTATAAACATAAAAATTGCTGAATTTTTTAGTTTGTCTCAACCAAATGTTGTAAACACAACCGTTCTAGAGTTATGCGTGTTTACAAATAGAAAAATTGCTGAATTTTTAGTTTCTGTTCTCTACTTAAGTTAGCCTCAACCAAATGTTATGAGATTTGCACACAATGCTTATTACCACAAAACTCAGATCAAGTTCAAATTTGGGTAGCGTCACTTTTACCGTTCTTCAGTTATGTCCCTTTATAACTATATGATATGCAAGCGGGGGCATCATCTGTGTCCACATGTGGACACTATCCACATTTATTTTTAAATTGTTCATTTGGCTTGTCCCAGGTTCAAGTTTTGGTTTAAGCTAGTTTACATGTACATATCAACTTGAACTTTATAAGTAATCATGTTCAATCCTTATGAGGTTAACTTTTAAAAAATATGCCAAATAGCTTTTTTTGCCAGGAATTGTGAGGTACTCTGAACCTGTAAATGTGATATTGTGGGGCATTGTGTCCTATGGACACTTTAATTTGCCTCCAATGCACAAAGACTAATATTAAAATTTCTATATATCATTGGAATAAAAAAATAGCACCTTAAAGTGTCATGTAGATTATTATGTTATCTATGTGTCTCATTCAAGTGCTACATAAAATAACAGAAACATAACACTAGTACTGATTTGTTACAGTACTGATAATTTTTTTCTGTAACAAATTCTTTATGTGAATTCTTGATTTTTGATGCTCAAAGGTTGCTGGTGTCTAGAACTAGATCTATAAAAGAACTGTTACCTCTGATAAGATTTTAGAAGAATTTAATTGTGTGTATGCTGTTGGGGGAGTGTTATATTCTCTGCACACTAGAGAACCTTTGCAACAAAATGGGGACATAGGTAGACTTTTGAAGGCCAATTTTTAAAATGCAACAGTATTCTTGTGAGAGTGATTCCATCTTAAACGATCTCTCAGACAAATCAACCAGTCGACCACGTGATCGGAATTGTACAGAATAATACCGAAAGTTTTGAAAATTCAAAAACAATAGCGCTGATATTTGATAGGATACTGCTGCGGTCTGCCCAATAGCACAGTGCTGAAATACGATAGCGCTGAATACCGCAGCGCTAAAACGGCCTGGGAGAACACTGTTCCTACTGAAGGGCTGTTGTTCTCTCAGGGCACTCTGGCTTCCTCCACCAATAAAAACTGACTGCCACAAAATAGCGCAATAGTGTTGAAAGTTGAGATTAAACACAGATCAATCAATCAATCATTGTTGTTAAGCAATCCAGTTGGGATAGAATAGAACAAGTGATGGTTCTTGTCATTAACTACATAACCCTATTCTTAAGAAATATGTATATGGAGTGTTTATTGACCATGGCATCTCTGATGTTCCATATTTCATTTTTACCCACAAAAGGGGGGGGCCTGGGCCCCGTGGGCCCCCTGGATCCGCCTATGATCACATTTATATAAATGAGAAGATATGCAAGTCTGCACCTTAAAGTGTCATGTAGATTATTATATAATCTATGTGTCTCATTCAAGTGCAACAAAAAATAACAGAAATATAACATTTGTACTGATAAGTCATGACAGTACTGCAAATTGATTTCTGTTACAATGTCTACAGGATATCTTTGATAAAGAAGAGATATGGAATGGACTAAAAATAAAATGTCAATATATTCATGACATGGTTTAGATAATTTAAATATTGTAGACTAGGTTATTGTGCTCTGAACCCAAATGTGTTTGATTCCCCTTTAAACACAAACAATTTGATGTCTTCTATGTGGATTCAGTATTGTTAAGGTACTTATTTTCCTGAATATCTTGGGTAAAGATTGACCTCAAATTTCAGTGTTTTAAAAAAATCTATTGGCTATTATCATGATTATATAGACAAAAAATACAAATTATGCAAATTGGGGAGATTTAAAAATCCTTTGACTAGAAAGGAGTTTGTTAAAAAATCCTGCATTGTTTTTTTTTAACAGCTTATATATTTTCATTTTATATTAATGAATAACGAAATTGTGCTAAAACTAAGTCTGCAACTCCCTCAGGCAAAGTTGACCTTAAATGATTTTAGATGTTCTGTTTACTTCTAAAAAAATTTATGCCCACAGATGTTTTAATTTCATAGAATTTACCATTTTTGTCTGAAGCATATCTAAATGATAAAGGAAATTCCAGACAAATATATTTGTGTTGATGGACATAAGCATCATATGACTATATCATTATCGTTGTGTGATATTTCAGGGTAAACTAATGAAAACAAAAGAAAACACGTGGATCCATACCAATTTGCAGCCAGTGGATAAATGTGTCTTATGGTTGTCATATATCAATCTTAAAGAATTCAAACAGCTACCTCCGCAGCTGTACAATCCACAGAAACAGATGGCAGGCAGAATTGTCAATAAGGTAATTAATTTGTTTATTTGCATTATTTTATTTTATTTTATTGGAGGCAAATATCTACGCATAACCTAATAACTAGATTTTTTATGGCCCCGCCGTAGCGGAGGGGGCATTAAGTTTTACCCCTGTACGTTCGTACGTCCCAAAATTTTTCGTTCTCTAACTTTAGTTTGCCTCAACCAAATGTTATGAAACTTATACATAATGCTTATTACCACAAAACACAGATCAAGTTTGAATTTTGTTGGCGTCACTAGTACTGTTTTAGAGTTATGCCCCTTTACCAATGGAATAATTGCTGAATTTTACATTTCCGTTCTCTAACTTATTTATTGTGTTATTTTGCATTTACTTAAAAGGGTGACTTGCAACCAAACACACAGAAAAAAGATAAATATTTTATATTAGCTCAGAATTCTATAATGACTGATATAACATATTTTAAAAAAAAAATCCATTAATAAATTAATAATATACTTTATAGAAATTAATCCCACAGTCAAAGTTGACCTTAGATGAACTTGACTATTCCTTTGGGTCCCTTTTGGTCATATAGCTGCTCACGTTGTTAGGCTCTCAAATGTTTGGGTTAAGAGTCTTCCGATGAAGACACTTTATTCACATAAAATTTAAAATGAGTTATTTTTTTTCAAACATAGGCATGAAAATTTTACAGTTGAACCATGATAAATCAACAAATGGAATGAAAAAAGTATTTGAATTTACAGGGCAGAGAAAACTACCTAAATCTAATTTTTACAAAGATAAGTTAATTTAAAGTACGGATGTACCCGTGAAATGAAACAGGTTTACGTTTTCTCCTTAGCCTCTTTCTGGTGAAGTCAATTTATTATAATTTAAACGATTATTTCATCTTTATTGCTGTAGTAATTTAATTTGTTCTAAAATTTTCGGGTAAAATGTGTTCCACTGACACAATTTTCTACCTGCTCTATCATCAGAGTTGTCTACAAACAATAAACATACATGCCATTCTGATTGACCTCTAGATGTTTTTTGTTGTTGTTTTTTTTATGCTGTAGGCGACATGGGCATTAAGTGTTATCCTTGACCGTCTGTCTTTCCGTTCGTCCATCCCTCTGTCCCATGTTTGTTTATTTGAAGCTTGAGCGGGGACATTCGTATCCTCAGACTCATTCTTTTTTCATTCTCTTCTGGTTGCTGTCTTGTTTACATATCCTATTTTTATTTTATTAATATTTCTGATATACTGTCAAGCGGTGTGTCTAGTGCGAACATTTATACCCTGGGTTTCCCAAGTATTAATAAAGACACAATAAAGTTTTAGTTGTTGGTTAAATTAGCATTTGTGTTTCTTGTTGTCATAACTAACTGTTTTTGTATGTGTTCATCATGGAGAGTAAAAGATAAGTGTATGAAAATTGAATAAACCACGATCGTTTTGAAAAGAAAATTCACCATTTTTTCTAATGTATCAGGTGATTGCCAGTCATGTGACTTAATATTGTAAAGTGATGATTTAGTCTATGAGAAGTTTTTTTTATAAATAAGTTTCTACTTTGTAACTTTTAAACAACTGTTTAAAACCTTTCAAGAAATTATCATTGAAAACATGATAATCCCATAATTGTAATCTGAACGAATTTAATTAGGAACAAGGTGGACCTGTCATTGATTTGTTTTGACATCGATTAGACCCACTAATTGAGGTGTGATAATCTGGATTAACAGCTAGAACATGTAGAATCAACAAACAAAAAATAAAAATAATGAGATTTTAACAATTTATTTCAGCACTGATTCATAACATAAAATTAGATAATACATGTATATATGCATTTATAGCAAAGCACTGAAAGTCACAATATTCAAGTTAGAAAGCACTAAATACAAAGAATATTACATCAAATTGTCATTTAAAACGCTTCAAATTCTTCATCATCACTGTCTTCATTGAAGATCCTATAAATATCTTGTAGTACAGCTAGTGGTGTATCATTAAAGATTAAGAAATAGATGTTAATGATAATTATTTGACTGATTCGTAATTACGTTATTGTTTCAATCAGAACATTAATTAGGATATTTAATCTTGTCTTTGATACTCAAACAATTTATTAAATTTGGTTTTAAAAAAAACTTAAATGAAGATTTATCTCAATCTACTTACATTTTAAAATAAAATTCTTATTCATTTGTCAGAATATTTGCAATTCGTATTCATTACGTATTCCGTACGGAATTCTCCGACATCCAGTTTACAGGTAGACTTCCTGTTTGCCGATTTTGGAGCTGTGACTTTTCCGAAAATGTCTATGAGTATTATACGAACAAGAAACTTTTTTTCTCAAGTTTCTTGAACCATAAAGGGGGTGTGCACTATACACACCAAAAGACGGTATGTGAACTTAAAGAATTAAGATAACTGAATATGGTTTATAAGTATTTTCTGTCAATTATTTTTTGCAGGATAAACTGATAATTCCTTGGAACAGTTTACCCCAGTTAGGTTCCAATGTTGATGTTCTTAAAACCCTGATGTTGAAAGCTGTGGAAGACTGTATGACTTTGGGGAAAACAGTCCTGTCTATAGAAATTCTCTATGTTAATATATTCAACCTACTACAGTCACAACAAAGGTAAGATTTCACATTCTTTTTCCACAACAAATATCACACCCCATATTATTGAGTTAACCTGGTTCCTTGTCCATTATCTGTTTGGCTTTACTATATATGGTAAACATAAAGTTACTTCTTGTTGTTCATGTCCTTGTCTTGCCTCTAGTCTAGTGGTTATCATTGGTTACTATATGCTAAAGTTGTGTTTTTCGCTTATTATCAAAGTCAGATTGTATTACACACACAAAGGGGCATAGTGGTCTAAGAAGTCGAACTACTGTATCACTAGCCTATCAACACTGAAGTTGTGAGTTTGAATCTTGCATATGGCAGGTTCATTAGACTCCAATCTGAATTGACTAGGATCATCAATTTTCCTACCGAAGGTCGGTGGCTCTCTCAAGGCACTCGGGCTTCCTCCACCAAATAAAACTAACTGCCACGAAATAGCACAATAGTGCTAAAAGTGGCATTAAACACCAATCAATCAATCAGTATTACACACATGTCATGTACCCTGATTTGTTATCTAACAGGATTTTGTCTTTATTTTTATTATGCTCCCGCCAAAGGAGAAGGGGCATTAAGTGTTACATTGTCCGTCCATAAGTCTTTCTGTGTGGAAAAATTGCTCAACTTTTCATTTCCTTTCTCTAAGTTTAGTTTGCCCCAACCAAATGTTATGAAATTAGACATGATTCTTATTACCACAAAATACAGATCAAGTTTGAAATTGGGTGGTGTCACTTTTATAGTTCTTAAGTTATGTCCCTTTATAACATTATATGCAAGCAGGGGCATCATCTGTATCCATTCTCCATTTGTTTCACAATAAACCACATTTGCTGAACTTCAGACACCACATAAATTGGTGGGGAGGTTTTTTTTATATATATATATCTATTAGTGTTTTCCAAGAAATACTTTGGAGGATGTTTGTCATTAATTTTGAGGGATGGAAACTTATATAGAGGAACAGGGAGTTTAAAATGTTAAATGATGGGTATTTAATTAATGCATAGGACCCACTATACATTATTCCTCTTGGGAAGACATAAAATATGTTATGGACATATAAAAAATATGAGTAATAACTTATGGAAATGCATTATATTCTGGTCTTTCTTTTTAAGGACATAAGAGCTCAAATAACTTCTAATTATAAAAAAATATATGTTCAAAGAAATGTTGTTCATGACTTGTTCTTGATTTTTAACAAATTTGTATCTATAAAAATTGTTGTCTGAATGTAGACAAAGCGTATTAACTTATTTTGAAGGCTGAAGGGTTAACAGCCAGGTTTTAAATTCATAGAACTTTGATAAAATTGAGGAGCTTAATTAGATTCAAAATTTTCATGCCAACCTACAATGTAGAGGGGCATTATGTTTTCTGGTCTGTTCGTCTGTCAGTCTAGTCTGCCTTTCCTGTATCAGGTTAAGGTGTTGGTTTAAGGGGGATTACAGTTTTGGTTTATGGTGGATTACAGTTTTGGTTTATTGTGGATTACAGTTTTGGTTTAAGGTGGATTACCATTTTGGTTTAAGGTGGATTACAGTTTTGGTTTTTTAGGTGGATAACAGTTTTGGTTTAAGGTGGATTACAGTTTTGGTTTAAGGTGGATTACCATTTTGGTTTAAGGTGGATTACAGTTTTGGTTTAAGATGGATTACCATTTTGGTTTAAGGGGGATTACAGTTTTGATTTAAGGTGGATTACCATTTTGGTTTAAGCTGGATTACAGTTTTGGTTTAGGGTAGTTTGTGATCACCTCAACTTTAAACTTTATATTATACACATGTATCAAGCATTCCTTTTTTATGCTTTCATTAGTGCAAAAAATGTTATAATAATCTTTCATAAAATTGAGAATGGAAATGGGGAATGTGTCAAAGAGACAACAACCCGACCATAGAACAGACAACAGCAGAAGGTCACCAACAGGTCTTCAATGCAGCGAGAAATTCCCGCACCCGGAGGCGTCCTTCAGCTGGCCCCTAAACAAATATATATACTAGTTCAGTGATAATGAACGCCATACTAAACTCCAAATTGTACACAAGAAACTAAAATTAAAAATAATACAAGACTAACAAAGGCTAGAGGCTCCTGACTTGGGACAGGCGCAAAAATGCGGCGGGGTTAAACATGTTTATGAGATCTCAACCCTCCCCCTATACCTCTAGCCAATGTAGAAAAGTAAACGCATAACAATACGCACATTAAAATTCAGTTCAAGAGAAGTCCGAGTCTGATGTCAGAAGATGTAACCAAAGAAAATAAACAAAATGACAATAATACATAAATAACAACAGACTACTAGCAGTTAACTGACATGCCAGCTCCAGACTTCAATTAAACTGATTGAAAGATTATGTCTTCATCATATGAATATCAGGCACAATCCTTCCCGTTAGGGGTTTAGTATCATACCATCATAACATATATGAGAAGAACATAACCCGTGTCATGCCAACAACTGGTTTTTTTAAAATAAATGTGTTTAGTGCCGATGCAAAGACCCTATAAGTGAATCAATATTAACGCCAAAATATGCAATCTTTAATGACCTGACAACAGTATCGTAACTATATCCCTTCTTAATAAGTCTATTTAAAGGTTTTGTTATCTTCATGTTTGCCTATTGTTTTACAATCACAATAATAAATGCAAGCCAGAAACATCTGGCTTTACAGTATTTAAAAATGTCACGGAAAAAAACAATGAAAAATATGTTTGTTAAAAGTAATTAGCCTAAAGACTTTTCATAAATCATCAGAACTATTTAGGTGTGGCATTGAAACTATTATCGGCTTAAGCATGTAAACTCTAAGAATTATAGATATGTACTAAAATTACAGGTGAAGAGGACAAAAAAACAACCTGTTAAAATGTCATGCCTAGAATTACCTGTAATTTATTAATTACCTGTCTTACGTAGAGAAATGGGAAGATTTACCTGTAAAAAAATGCAAGTTTAATGTTCCGGCAGAAATATTACACTTGTACCAACATAAATCTGCCTTTAATTGGATTGAAGACATTAATTGTGGCTTATGTATACCAAATTAATGGGATGTATTGATATATTCTTTTTTCTTCCACAAAAATGCAGACAGATTTCTTGCAGCAATTGTTTTTTGCTTCAAAAGTTTTATTGCTTGTATCCTGTGTTTATTAAACAGATTTGTTTAATTATATGCATGTTTAATTCACCAATTTAAAAGACAAAACTTATTTAAAGTATTCCCTGAAGAAATTAAAATAATTTACAAAGTGTCAGACTGTGAAATATTTTAATAGGTGCACACGCTAGACAGTTTTATTGCACATAGTGAAATATCCATCATATGAAGTAATTGTTTTGTCTTTGCTGCTACTAATTTACGACATTTCTCTGGGATCAAAAGAACAATTCCTTAGAAGATAACACAATTTTTTAGCTAATTGATAACTGGTAGTGCTTTTATTTGTCACATTAACCTATTGTCTTTTGATTTGATTATTTTTTTCATTTATCCATAGATAAGAGAATCTTTTATCCATCATTGTTTTTTTGTCAGGTTTTTTAAATGATTTAATTGTCTCAGAAAGCGAGACATAGGGATTGCTTTTCAGGCGAATGGTGGAGGCGTCAACAATTGTTAAGTTTTCTGCTTAAGTTATTTTGATAGGAACTACTTCACGGCCGACACTCGGCTAACCGAGAGATTGGTCGGTTAATCTATATTGAGTATGCGGCTATATGGGCGGTTGGTCTGTTAATCGGGTTGGTTATACGTCTGTTAAGAGTAAAACGCACAATTTAATGTTAAACTCTGTTAAATATACGGATTTTTATACAACCGCAAAAAATTTTTGCGGTCGTATATTGGTATGACGTTGGCGTCGTCGTCCGAAGACACATTGGTTTTCGCACTCTAACTTTTGTTTAAGTGAATGGATCTCTATGAAATTTTACCATAAGGTTCAATACCACAAAAGGAAGGTTGGGATTGATTTTGGGGATTATGGTACCAACAGTTAAGGAATTAGGAACCAAAAAGGGGCCAAAAATAAGCATTTTTGTAACTTCCAGACATAACTTGTGTGTTAGTGTATGGATCTCTCTGACATTGTACCACAAGGTTCCATATCACACAGGGAATGCTGGGATTGATTTTGGGGGGTAATTGCCTCAAAATATTAGGAATTAGGGGCAAAAAAAGGGGCAAAAAACAAGCATTTTTCTAGTTTCATGACAATAACTTGTGTGTTAGTGTATGGATCTTTCTGAAATTGTACTACATGGTTCCATATCACAAAGGGAAAGCTGGAATTGAGTTTGGGGGTAATTGCCCAAAATGTTTAGCAAAAAGGGGCCAAAAATAAGCATTTTTCTAGTTTCCAGACAATAACTTGTGTTCAAGTGTATGGATCTCTCTGAAATTGTACTGCAAGGTACCATACCACAAAGGGAAGGCTGGGATTGAGTTTGGGTGTGATGAATCATAAGGGGGTTCAAAAAATTTGGGGGGGGGGGGGGATTTTTTTTTTTTCCTTTTTTTTTCTTCTTTTAAAATTTTTCATTTTAAGTTGGTTATTTCTGTTTTATATTTAAAAGCAAATAATAATGATATGGTAGGAGATACACACCAAACAGGATGTGTAAATTATTATATAATAAGTATTGTGCAATAGCAAGAAATTTTCAATTGCACAGTATTGCACAATAGCAAGAAATCTTCAATTGCACAGTATTGCGCAATAGCAAGAAATCTTCAATTGCACAGTATTGTGCAATAGCAAGAAATATCCAATAGCACAATATTGTGCAATAGCAAGAAATTGTCAATTGTACAGTATTGCGCAATAGCAAGAAATATTCAATTGCACAGTATTGTGCAAAAGAAGATACTTCGTATAAATTGCTTATTTCTTGACCAATTTCAATGGGTTTTATTCTTGAATTCTTGGGGTTCTTTAATATGCCTAATCTAACCGTGTATTAAGTTTTTGGATTTTGGGCCCCGTTTTTA